CAGACTGACGACACAGGATGACAGGAGGGTCAGGGGAGACATGATAACAACATACTAAATACTGTGGAATAGACAAGGTGGACAGAGACAGGATGTTCCAGAGAGGAGACACAGAAACAAGGGGTCACAATTGGAAGCTGAAGACTCAGACGAGTCACAGGGATGTTAGGAAGTATATACTTCTTCAGTTACAGAGTCGTCAGGAAGTGGAATAGCCTAGCAAGCAATGTAGTGGAGGCAGGAACCATACATAGTTTTCAGACGAGGTATGACAAACTCAGGGAGCAGAGAGAGAGAGGACCTAGTAGCGATCAGTGAAGAGGCAGGGCCAGGAGCTGAGTCTCGACCCCTGCAACCACAGTTAGGTGAATTAAGCGAGTACACACAAGCACGCACGCACACACGCACGCACGCAAGCACGCACGCACGCACGCACGCATGCACGCGCACACACACACACACACACATAGACAAGGTGGACAAAGACAGGATGTTCCAGGGAGGGGACACAGAAACAAGAGGCCACAATTGGAAGTTGAAGACACAAATGAGTCAGAGAGATAGTAGGAAGTATTTCTTCAGTCATAGAGTTGTAAGGCAGTGGAATAGCCTAGAAAATGACGTAGTGGAGGCAGGAACCATACACAGTTTTAAGACAAGGTTTGATAAAGCTCATGGAGCGGGGAGAGAGAGGGCCTAGTAGCAACCGGTGAAGAGGCGGGGCCAGGAGCTAGGACTCGACCCCTGCAACCACAAATAGGTGAGTACACACACAGAAACAAGGGGTCATAATTAGAAGCTGAAGACTCAGACAAGTCACAGTGATGTTAGGAAGTATTTCTTCAGTCATGGAGTCGTCAGGAAGTGGAATAGCTTAGCAAGTGATGTAGTGGAGGCAGGAACCTTACATAGCTTTAAGATGAGGTATGACAAAGCTCAGGGAGCAGAGAGAGAGAGAGGACCTAGTAGTGATCAGTGAAGAGGTGGGGCCAGGAGCTGAATCTTGACCCCTGCAACCACAGTTAGGTGAGTACACACACACACACACACACACACGTACGTACGTACGTACGTGCATAGCTGTTGTACAGTCACATCAGGAGGAAAACAGTCAAGGACCAGGTAATCAGGCTGAAGAAGGAAGGAGGGGAGATCACAAGAAACAACCAAGAAGCATGTGAGGAGCTCAGTACGAGATTCAAAGAAGTATTCACAGGAGCCAGAAGGAACTCCAGAAAGACAGAAAGGTGGGGTACACCAAGTGCTGGACATAATACATACAGCCAGGGAGGAGATGAAGAGGCTGCTAAGCGAGCTAGATACCTCAAAGGCGATGGAACCAGATAACATCTCTCCATGGGTCCTGAGAGAGGGAGCAGAGGTATTGTGTGTACCACTAACAACAATCTTCTTCACGTCTATCAAAACAGGGCGACTACCTGAGGTATGGAAGACGGCAAATGTAGTCCCTTCATGGAGAAGACTATCAGAAGTGTGATGGAGGACCTAGAAAGGAATGAGCTTATCAGTGACAACCAGCAAGGATTCAGGGATGGGAAATCCTGTGTCACAAACCTACTGAAGTTCCATAACAAGGTGACAGCAGTAAGACAAGAGAGATAGTGGTGGGTAGACTGCATTTTTTTGGACTGTAAGAAGGCTTTTGATAGCTCTACACAAGAGATTAGTGCAAAAGCTGGAGGATCAATCAGGTATAACGGGGAAGGCACTACAATGGATCAGAGAATACCCGACAGGAAGACATCAGCAAGTCATGGTACGTGACGAGGTGTCAGAGTGGGCGCATGTGACGAGCGGGGTTCCACAAGGGTCAGTCCTAGGATCGGTCCTGTTTCTTGTACAGTGGACCCCTGGTTAACGATATTTTTTCACTCCAGAAGTATGTTCAGGTGCCAGTACTGACCGAATTTGTTCCCATAAGGAATATTGTGAAGTAGATTAGTCCATTTCAGACCCCCAAACATACACGTACAAACACACTTACATAAATACACTTACATAATTGGTCGCATTCGGAGGTGATCGTTATGCGGGGGTCCACTGTATATGTGAATGACATGACGGAAGGAATAGACTCAGAAGTGCCCCTGTTTGCAGACGATGTGAAGTTAATGAGGAGAATTCAATCAGAGGAAGACTAACAGGACTACAAAGGGATCTGGACAGGCTGCAGGCCTGGTCCAGAAACTGGCTCCTGGAATGTAACCCCACCAAATGTAAAGTCATGAAGATTGGGGAAGGGCAAAGAAGACCACAGACAGAGTACAGACTAGGGGGGCCAAAGGAAAAGGGGGCCATGGAAAACTATCTTGGGGTGAGTATAATACCAAGCACATCTGAGGTTTACATAAACCAGGTAACTGCTGAAGCATATGCATACCTGGCAAACCTAAGAGTAGTGTTCCAATACCTCAGTAAGGAATCATTCAAGACTCTGTACACGTTGTACGTCAGGCCCATATTGGAGTATGCAGCACCAGTATGGAACCTACACCTGGTCAAGCATGTCAAGAAATTAGAGAAAGTGCAAAGGTTTGCATCAAGACTAGTCCTGGAGCTAAGGGTTATGTCCTATGAGGAGAGGTTAAGGGAAATCGGCCTGATGACACTGGAGGACAAGAGGGATAGGGGGAAACATGATAACGACATAAAATACTGCAAGGAATTGACAAGGTGAACAAAGACAGGATGTTCCAGAAATGGTACACAGCAAAAAGGGGTCACTATTGGATGCTGAAAAGGCAGATGAGTCAGAGGGATGTTAGGAAGTATTTCTTCAGCCATAGAGTTGTCATGGAATAGTCTGGAAAGTGACGTAGTGGAGGCAGGATCCATACATAGGTTTTGATGTTTTCTTTTTTTTTTTCTAACATCAGCTGGTTTCCACTGAGGCAGGGTGATAGAACAAAAGTTGCACTGTCAGCCGATAAGATATATAAATGGGCTAGTGAGAGAATAGGCAGTGAGGTTGAAGAGGTATGGGGTAGATTTAAGAATGTAGTGTTAGTGTGTTCAGCATAAGTTTGTGGTTACAGGAAAGTGGGTGCGGGAGGCAAGAAGAGCGACTGTCGGAATGATGAAGTAAGAGAGAAAAGGTTAGCATATGAAAGGCTTTTACAGAGTAGAAGTGATACGAGGGAGGAGTACATGGAGAGAAAATGAGAGGTTAACAGAGTTGTGAAGGAATGTAAAAGGAGAGCAAATGAGAGAGTGGGTGAGATGCTATCAACAAATTTTGTTGAGAATAAGAAAAAGTTTTGGAGTGAGATTAATTAGTTGGGAAAGCCTAACGAATGAATGGATTTGACAGTTAAAAATAGGAGAGTTATTAGATGGACAGTTAGAGGCATTGGAAAGATGGAAGGAATATTTTGATGAACTGTTAAACGTTGATGAAGATAGGGAAGCTGTGATTTTGTGTATTGGACAGGGAGATGCAATATCTTGTAGGAGTGAGGAAGAGCCAGTTATGAGTGTGGGAGAAGTGCATGAGGCAGTGGGTGGAATAAAAGAAAAAAAATGCAGCTGCAATTGCTAGGATAAAGACAGAAATATTAAAAGCAGGTGGGGATATAGTTTTGGAGTGGTTGGTGCCTTTTATTTAATAAATGGAAGAGGGTAAAGTACCTAGGGATTGGCAGAGAGCATGCATAGTTCCTTTGTATAAAAATAAAGGGGATAAAATAAAGTGTAAAAATTATAGGGAAATAAGCCTGTCGAGTATACCTTGTAAAGTGTGTGGTCGAGTTGTTATTGAAAGACTTAGAGTAAGACAAAGCAGGATTTCAGATGAACAAGGAGACTTTAGGAAGGGTAGTGGGTGTGTAGACCAAGTGTTTACAGTAAAACATATAGGTGAACAGTATTTAGATAAGGGTAAAGAGTTTTTTTGTGGCATTTATGGATTTAGAAAAGGCTTATAATAGGATGGATAGGAGGGCAGTGTGGCAGATGTTGCAAATGTATGGAATAGGAGGTATGTTGCTGAAAGCAGTGAAGAGTTTTTACAAGGATAATGATGCTCAGGCTAGAGTATATAAGAGAGAGGGACATTATTTTCCAGTAAAAGTAGGCCTTAGACAAAGATGTGTGATGTCACCATGGTTGTTCAATACTGTATATTTATAGATGGGGTTGTAAGAGAAGTGAATGCTCGGATATTGGCAAGAGGCATGGGATTAAAAAAATAAAGAATCTAACACAAAGTGGGAGCTGTCGCGCTTGCTTTTTTGCTGATGACACTGTCCTTAGGGAGATTCTGAAAAGTTGCAGAGGTTGGTGGACGAGTTTGGTAGGATATGTAAAATAAGGAAATTAAGTGAACATAGGGAAAAGTAAGGTGATGAGGATAAAAAATTTAGGTAATGAAAGAATGGATATCAGTGCGGTGTGAATGCAGAGAATTCATAGTTTGGAAATTAGGAGGTGCGGGTTACTAAATGTATTACCCAGAGGACTGAGGAGGGGCTGTTGAGGTGGTTGGACATTTAGAGAGGATGGAACGAAGTAAAATGACTTGGAGAGCATGTAAATCTGTAGTGGAAGGAAGGCGGGGTAATGGTCAGCCTAGGAAAGGATGGAGGGAGGGGTTAAAGGAGGTTTTGTGTGAGGGGCTTGGATTTCCAGCAAACATGTGTGAGCACATTAGATAGGACTGGAGACGAATGGTTTTTAAGACGTTCTGTTGGTGTGTGAGCAAGATAAAATTTATGAAAGGATTCAGGGAAACTAGCAGGCCAGACTTGTCTTGGAGGTGGGAAGCACAGTGCCTGCACTCTGAAGGAGGGGTTTTGATAAGCTGCAGTTTTATAACTGTATTGTAGGCACACCTTTAGCAAGACAGTGATGGAGATGAATGATGAAAGTATTTTTTTTTTTTCAGGTCACCCTGCCTTGGTGAGAAATGGCCAGTGTGTTAATAATAATATAATAAAATTTATTTTCTTGTTCTTATATTCACTTTAATTTTTTTTTCCCAGATGGTTAGAGTACTGGAGATACAGCCCATTGCTTCAGTTGTATCTCGGGCATTTTCTTCATTCCTGGATGAAAAGGATCAAGGTACCCTCATCCTCAGTCATATATACTTATTGGCTGGTGTAGCATCACCACTTTGGCTGAGTCCATGTGCCCTCTATGATGCAGAGGAAGGGTCCAGTTTGTCACCAGGGTCAGTGCTGCCTCTTCTTGCTGGTGTGCTGGCTGTTGGGATAGGAGATACTGCAGCTTCTGTTGGTGGAACCTATTTTGGGCAAAAACATTGGTCTGGGACAAAGAAAACAGTTGAAGGAAGTATATGTGGGGTGGTAGCTCAGCTGGTTGCTGTGTTAGTATTAGTATTTATGAATATCGTAGATATGTCTCTTAAAGCTTGGGGCCATTTTTTCATCTCTGCTGCATTAACAGCAGTAGTAGAAGCTCTTACAGACCAAGTGGATAACATTGTCTTACCGTTATTGCTGTACACACCTCTAATGGATCTGTAAATTTAGCAGTTATAAGGGGATAATGAAAGGGGCTAGCAACCCCTTGTCCTGTATATATTACTAAATATAAAAGGAGAAACTCTAATTTTTCCTTTTGGGCCACCCTGCCTCGGTGGGATACAGCCGGTGTGTTGAAAGAAGAAAGAAGGGGATAATGAAAGTATATACTATTCAAAATTATTTATTAATGATTGTCTATTTAGTGCAAGACTTTTTCATTACTAAATTAACTACAGTAGACCTTCAACTAACATGGGAGTTGCGTTCCTGAAAATCAGCTCTATTTAAATTAGTAATATTCAGGTTGAAGACTATATGGGAAAAATAAGTTTCCTTGGAGCTCAAAAAAATGTATATTTGTCCTTTTTTAAATAGACTAAAAAAAAGTCAAAAGAAAAAACTTGCCTCAATTCTGGTTGCTGTTGCTTGTTGATATGAAAGTGTGTGGAGAGGCTTTGTACAAATATATGACAGGCAGCATCAGCTACTACCACCACCATCACCTAAGGCGTCGTAAAAGCCAGTTGTTAACTCAGTTTAATGTGTTCCTTACACATATGAACAGGGCATTTCTTCCAGATAAAATGGGTAGGGTTCAATATTGCACTTCCATGGTAACCATCAACAACAAAAACAATAGCTATGCCAGTGAAGCTCAGAACCTCATTGCATATCTTTGTTTAATGACAATTTCACACCTGAACCAACCTATTCAACAATGTGTAATGTGTGTTAAAGCCATGGAAAAGTGTAATTGTGGATTATTAGCCTTCATGCATACCTCTCACCTTCACAGCACACCTTGAAGCTTGTTTAATACCTCTTAATTTTCTTCTTGGTTCTTTCACCATCTCTAGTATCTCTTTTTGGTACCATGGTTAATATCTTAAGACGAGATGAGGTGGTGGCAATATCCAATATCATTCAGCCAACACTGAGTTGGGCATGCCATGTTTGTAGACAGCAACTGCTGGCAGCATGAGTCAGCTGACAACTAAAAGTGACACCAGGCCACTAAGCATGGGCTAGCAGAACAGGGCAAAAATTATCTGCCGCCAGATGTGGTTTTTGTACGTCATTCTCTAGCCTTTCGTGATTACATTGCATTTTTCAGCACACATCTGTTACAGGTATAGGTAGTAGGTTGGTAGACAGCAACCACCCAGGGAAGTACTACCGTCCTGCCAGATGACTGTGAAACAAAAACCTGTAACTGTTTTGCATGATGGTAGGATTGCTGGTTTCTTTTTCTGTCTCATAAACACGCTAAGATAACAGGGATATCTTGCTACTCCTACTTACACTTTGGTCACACTTCACAGACACGCACATGCATATATATATATACATACATCTAGGTTTTTCTCCTTTTTCTAAATAGCTCTTGTTCTTTTTTATTTCTTCTATTGTCCATGGGGAAGTGGAAAAGAATCTTTCCTCCGTAAGCCATGCGTGTCGTATGAGGCGACTAAAATGCCGGGAGCAATGGGCTAGTAACCCCTTCTCCTGTATACAATTACTAAAAAAGAGAAGAAGAAAAACTTTATAAAACTGGGTTGCTTAAATGTGCGTGGATGTAGTGCGGATGACAAGAAACAGATGATTGCTGATGTTATGAATGAAAAGAAGTTGGATGTCCTGGCCCTAAGCGAAACAAAGCTGAAGGGGGTAGGAGAGTTTCAGTGGGGGGAAATAAATGGGATTAAATCTGGAGTATCTGAGAGAGTTAGAGCAAAGGAAGGGGTAGCAGTAATGTTAAATGATCAGTTATGGAAGGAGAAAAGAGAATATGAATGTGTAAATTCAAGAATTATGTGGATTAAAGTAAAGGTTGGATGCGAGAAGTGGGTCATAATAAGCGTGTATGCACCTGGAGAAGAGAGGAATGCAGAGGAGAGAGAGAGATTTTGGGAGATGTTAAGTGAATGTATAGGAGCCTTTGAACCAAGTGAGAGAGTAATTGTGGTAGGGGACTTGAATGCTAAAGTAGGAGAAACTTTTAGAGAGGGTGTGGTAGGTAAGTTTGGGGTGCCAGGTGTAAATGATAATGGGAGCCCTTTGATTGAACTTTGTATAGAAAGGGGTTTAGTTATAGGTAATACATATTTTAAGAAAAAGAGGATAAATAAGTATACACGATATGATGTAGGGCGAAATGACAGTAGTTTGTTGGATTATGTATTGGTAGATAAAAGACTGTTGAGTAGACTTCAGGATGTACATGTTTATAGAGGGGCCACAGATATATCAGATCACTTTCTAGTTGTAGCTACACTGAGAGTAAAAGGTAGATGGGATACAAGGAGAATAGAAGCATCAGGGAAGAGAGAGGTGAAGGTTTATAAACTAAAAGAGGAGGCAGTTAGGGTAAGATATAAACAGCTATTGGAGGATAGATGGGCTAATGAGAGCATAGGCAATGGGGTCGAAGAGGTATGGGGTAGGTTTAAAAATGTAGTGTTAGAGTGTTCAGCAGAAGTTTGTGGTTACAGGAAAGTGGGTGCAGGAGGGAAGAGGAGCGATTGGTGGAATGATGATGTAAAGAGAGTAGTAAGGGAGAAAAAGTTAGCATATGAGAAGTTTTTACAAAGTAGAAGTGATGCAAGGAGGGAAGAGTATATGGAGAAAAAGAGAGAAGTTAAGAGAGTGGTGAAGCAATGTAAAAAGAGAGCAAATGAGAGAGTGGGTGAGATGTTATCAACAAATTTTGTTGAAAATAAGAAAAAGTTTTGGAGTGAGATTAACAAGTTAAGAAAGCCTAGAGAACAAATGGATTTGTCAGTTAAAAATAGGAGAGGAGAGTTATTAAATGGAGAGTTAGAGGTATTGGGAAGATGGAAGGAATATTTTGAGGAATTGTTAAATGTTGATGAAGATAGGGAAGCTGTGATTTCGTGTATAGGGCAAGGAGGAATAACATCTTGTAGGAGTGAGGAAGAGCCAGTTGTGAGTGTGGGGGAAGTTCGTGAGGCAGTAGGTAAAATGAAAGGGGGTAAGGCAGCCGGGATTGATGGGATAAAGATAGAAATGTTAAAAGCAGGTGGGGATATAGTTTTGGAGTGGTTGGTGCAATTATTTAATAAATGTATGGAAGAGGGTAAGGTACCTAGGGATTGGCAGAGAGCATGCATAGTTCCTTTGTATAAAGGCAAAGGGGATAAAAGAGATTGCAAAAATTATAGGGGGATAAGTCTGTTGAGTGTACCTGGTAAAGTGTATGGTAGAGTTATAATTGAAAGAATTAAGAGTAAGACGGAGAATAGGATAGCAGATGAACAAGGAGGCTTTAGGAAAGGTAGGGGGTGTGTGGACCAGGTGTTTACAGTGAAACATATAAGTGAACAGTATTTAGATAAGGCTAAAGAGGTCTTTGTGGCATTTATGGATTTGGAAAAGGCGTATGACAGGGTGGATAGGGGGGCAATGTGGCAGATGTTGCAAGTGTATGGTGTAGGAGGTAGGTTACTGAAAGCAGTGAAGAGTTTTTACGAGGATAGTGAGGCTCAAGTTAGAGTATGTAGGAAAGAGGGAAATTTTTTCCCAGTAAAAGTAGGCCTTAGACAAGGATGTGTGATGTCACCGTGGTTGTTTAATATATTTATAGATGGGGTTGTAAGAGAAGTAAATGCGAGGGTCTTGGCAAGAGGCGTGGAGTTAAAAGATAAAGAATCACACACAAAGTGGGAGTTGTCACAGCTGCTCTTTGCTGATGACACTGTGCTCTTGGAGATTCTGAAGAGAAGTTGCAGAGATTGGTGGATGAATTTGGTAGGGTGTGCAAAAGAAGAAAATTAAAGGTGAATACAGGAAAGAGTAAGGTTATGAGGATAACAAAAAGATTAGGTGATGAAAGATTGAATATCAGATTGGAGGGAGAGAGTATGGAGGAGGTGAACGTATTCAGATATTTGGGAGTGGACGTGTCAGCGGATGGGTCTATGAAAGATGAGGTGAATCATAGAATTGATGAGGGAAAAAGAGTGAGTGGTGCACTTAGGAGTCTGTGGAGACAAAGAACTTTGTCCTTGGAGGCAAAGAGGGGAATGTATGAGAGTATAGTTTTACCAACGCTCTTATATGGGTGTGAAGCGTGGGTGATGAATGTTGCAGCGAGGAGAAGGCTGGAGGCAGTGGAGATGTCATGCCTGAGGGCAATGTGTGGTGTGAATATAATGCAGAGAATTCGTAGTTTGGAAGTTAGGAGGAGGTGCGGGATTACCAAAACTGTTGTCCAGAGGGCTGAGGAAGGGTTGTTGAGGTGGTTCGGACATGTAGAGAGAATGGAGCGAAACAGAATGACTTCAAGAGTGTATCAGTCTGTAGTGGAAGGAAGGCGGGGTAGGGGTCGGCCTAGGAAGGGTTGGAGGGAGGGGGTAAAGGAGGTTTTGTGTGCGAGGGGCTTGGACTTCCAGCAGGCATGTGTGAGCGTGTTTGATAGGAGTGAATGGAGACAAATGGTTTTTAATACTTGACGTGCTGTTGGAGTGTGAGCAAAGTAACATTTATGAAGGGATTCAGGGAAACCGGCAGGCCGGACTTGAGTCCTGGAGATGGGAAGTACAGTGCCTGCACTCTGAAGGAGGGGTGTTAATGTTGCAGTTTAAAAACTGTAGTGTAAAGCACCCTTCTGGCAAGACAGTGATGGAGTGAATGATGGTGAAAGTTTTTCTTTTTCGGGCCACCCTGCCTTGGTGGGAATCGGCCGGTGTGATAATAAATAAAAAAATCTGTTACAGTTTTGTTTTTCAGTCACAGATCTTTTGGGAGATTCTGAGAGAAACTGCAAAGGTTGGTAGATAAATTTGGAAGGGTTTGTAAAACAAGGAAAAAGTGAACATAAACAGCAAGGCAGTGAAAGTAACCAAAAATATAGGCAATGAGAGATCAGATATCACATTGGAGGGAGGAAATAGAGGATATAAATTTGATAAGATATTTGGGGGTAAGAGTGTTTAAGTGAGGAAGAAATAAATAGAATTAGGCAAGGCATATGAGAGAGAGTTAGAACTAAGGAAGGAGAAGTAATAATGTTGAAGAATTGGTTACGACAGGAAGAGGGAATATAAATGAATAAATTTAAGGATTATGTGGATTACGATAAAGGTTGGATACAAAAAGTGGGTTATACTCAGTATTATTCACACATGGAAGACATTTTGGGAGATGTTAACCCTTTCACAGTGTGTGTCGTGGTGCTATGCAATGAACTCGGCTCACTCAGATAGGCTGTGAGTGCTGAATTTGGGACTAAATATGATAGAATGGGTCGATTCATTAAGTGTGCACCATATAAAATAAACCTTGCAGCACAGTGCACAATGCGACCATGTTTGTTTAAAACGGCAACTTTGCGGTGTATTTTTGTATAGTTTTTATGGTTATACAGTGGACCCTCGCCTAACGATATTAATTGGTACCTGAGAATGAATATCGTTAGACGAGTTTTTTAGCGTTAGCCGAGGCAAAATGTTAGCGTTAAAATGTATCGTTAGACAAATTTAACATTGTGATGCGTTCATTAGGCGAGGGTTTCTTGGTCTCATTTGATAGAATGGAAGATACATTACTGAAATAGAGATGATTTTGAGGACTCAAAATAGCTTGAAATGGAGCTCAAAGTAGTGGAAATGTTCGATTTTTACAGACGTTCAAGGGTAAACAAAACATGTCAAATGTCCAATACATGTCAACTGGTGAGTAATATGCATTCACGAATGCACTGATATTATTTATATAATTACAATATTGCATAACAATAAATCTTCTATTTTTTTGTGTGAATAAAAATTCAAAATGGAATTCGCATGTAAAGCCTGGGAACGTGACTAATGAACAGAGGAAATGTTATTTTAAGTACCAGGAATGCCTGCATGGTTTATCCTTGACCTTACAGTGATACCCTGAGTTTCGGCCATAATTCGTTCCGGAAAGCTGTTCGAGTGCTGTTACTGAACGAATTTGTTCCCATAAGGAATAATGTAAATTGGATTAGTCTGTTTCAGACTGCCAAAAATACACCTAGAAAAGCACTTAAAATATTACACTTACATAATTGTTCAAGTTGGAAGCTATACGAAAACTCAGGGTACAACTGTATTTTGAAATTGGAATAGTTTTAAATTTGTGTCAGATTGGTCAAATTATTAATTTCTGGTCACTTTATTGGGTAGTTGAAATAGTTGATTGGGTGGTTTCTTGTGCTCAGTTGATAAAATAGAAGGCATACTAGCAAAATAGCTAAGAATTTTGTCAACTGGAACAATGTAATTGGCCAAAAATAGGAGTCAAAGTGGGCAAAATCGCAGACGCATAAATATCGCTGACAGAGCCAAATTCGCGGTAGTGTAATTTCATCGGTTTTCCATCAAATTTCTTACTTTTTGTTTTATTACCTTCAGAAAGAGATTCTCTACCATTTCATAAGAAAAAAAAAAACACATTTTGAAAATTATTTGACCCTGTGGACAAGTTTCAGGTCGGGGTCTGGACCCCTGAAAGAGTTGAGAAAGTGTTTAGGGAGTTTTGAACCAGGTGAGATTGTTCTGGGAGACCTAAATACTAAAGTGAGAGAAACTGTTGTAGAGGGCAAAGTTTAGGGTGCCAGGGCATAAATGATAATGGGGGGCCTTTGATTGAAGTTTATATAGAAAGAGGTTTAGTAATAGGTAATACATATTTTTAAGAAAAAGAATAAGTACACAAGATATGATATAGGATGCAATGACAATAGTTTGTTGGACTAAAGAAAGGAAAACTGCAGGAGGCCTACTGGCCCATGCTAGGCAGGACCAACTCTCACCCACTCATGTATAACCTATTTTTAAAGCTACACAAAGCTTTAGCTTCAGTGATGCTACTTGGGAGTTCCACTTATCCACATCTCTATTACCAAACCAGTGCTTTCCTATATCTTTTCTGAATCTAAATTTTTCTAACTTGAACTTATTGCTGCAAGTCTTGTCTTGATTAGATATGCTTAGCATATTATTTACATCCCTTTATTTATTCCTGACCATGTACTGGTGAATAAAAGGTTGAGGGGTAGACTTCTGGATGTGTGTGTTTTTAGAGGGACAACAGATATATCATTATTATTTAGTTATAGCTATGGTGAGAGTAAGAATTAGATGGGGTATAAGGAGAATGGGAGCAGTAAAAGAAGTGAAAGTTTATAAACTAAGAAGGAAAACATAGTTAGAGTAAAATATAAGCAACTATTGGGAGAAAGATGGGCTAGAGAGTATAGGTATTGAGGAGGTTGAAGAGATATAGGGTATATTTAAGAATGCAGTGTTAGCATTCAGCAGAAGTTTGTGGATATAGGAGGGAAGAGAAGCTATTGGTGAACTGAGGTACAAAAAGTAGTAAGGGAGAAAAAGTTAGCATACAAGAGGTTTTTACAAAGCAGAAGTAATATAAGGAGGGAGGAGTATATGGAGAGTAAAAAGAGAGGTTAAGAGAGTGGTGAAGGAATGTAAAATAAAAGTGGGTGAGGTTATGTTAAAAATATTTTGCCAGTAAGAGAGAGTTTTAGAGTGAGGTTAATACTCAGGTTAATAGACTCCAAAACAGAAGAGGGGAGTTATTAGATGGGGAGTTGGAGGTACTGGGAAGATGGCAGGAATATTTTGAGCTGTTAAATGTTGAAGAAAGAAGGGCAGTGATTTCATGCATTGGTCAACAAGGTATAACATCTATAAGAAATGAGGAAAAGCCAGCTGTGAGTTGGGGAGGTGTGCGAGGCTGTGGGTGAAATGAAAGGGGGTAAAGCAGCTAGGATTGATGGGATCAAGACAGAAATTTTAAAAGCAGGTGGGGATATAGTTTTGGCATACAGGCACTCCTCACTTAATGACCTACCCATTTAATGACTACTCGGACTTACAACCAGCTCTCCGACCAGTCGGTATACTGTAAAACATTTAAAAATACAGTGGACCCCCGCTTAACGATCACCTCCCAATGCGACCAATTATGTAAGTGTATTTATGTAAGTGCGTTTGTACGTGTATGTTTGGGGGTCTGAAATGGACTAATCTACTTCACAGTATTCCTTATGGGAACAAATTCAGTCAGTACTGGCACCTGAACATACTTCTGGAATGAAAAAATATCGTTAACCGGGGGTCCACTGCATACTATAAATGTTATAAATGGTGCAAAGGTGACATTAAAAGAAAATCTAAAGATGGTTGACACAAACCCACTATCAGTATAGCATGCTTGAAATATCAGTAAGGGGTGGCTACTTGCTTATTGACAAATTTGCTTAACAACCTAGTCGTAGGAACTGAACTCGGTCGTTAAGTAAGGAGTGCCTGTAGTTAGTACTTTTGTTCAGTAAATGTATGAAAGGGGGGGGGAAGGTACCTAGGGATTGGTAGAGAGCACACAGAGATCCTTTGTATAAAGGCAAAGGGGACAAAAGTGTGTAAAAATTATTGGGGAATAAGCCTACTGAATTTATCAGGTAAAGCATATGGTCGCATTATTATTGAAAGAATTAAGGGTAAGATGAAAAGCAGGATTACAGATGAACCGAGTTTTAAGAAGAGTAGGGGATGTATAGACCAAGTGTTTACATTGAAGCACATAAGTAAACAATATTTAGATAATGGTAAGGAAGTTTTCATTACATTTATGGATTTAAAAAAGGCTTGTGATAGGGTGGATAGGGAAGCACTGTGGCAGATGCAGCAAGTGTAATAGGTGGTAGGTTACTGAAAGTAGTTAAGAGTTTTTATGAAGATAATAAGGCTCAGGTTAGGTTATGTAGGAGAGAGGTAGATTTTTTTCCCAGTAAAAGTGGGCCTTAGACATAGATGTATAATGTCACCATGGTTGTTAACATATTTTTAGATAGGGTTGTAAAAGAAGTGAATGCTAGTGTGTTGGAGAGATGGGTGTGATTAAAATGTATAGAATTTAGTACAAAATTGGAGTTGAAAGTTAAGACACATGTGCAACATCTGGATATCTTTATTGAGCCACTGGATGGCGAAACATCTACAATAAAGATATCCAGATGTTGCACATGTGTCTTAACTTTCATACTGTCGGTATTTTATACCTTTCTTGCACAAAACTGGAGTTGTCACAGTTGCTTTTTGCTGATGACACTTTCCTTTTGGGAGATTCTGAAGAGAATTTGCAAAGGTTGGTAGACAAATTTGGGAGGGTATGTAAAAGGAAATTTACAGTGAATATAGGAAAGAACACAGTGATGAGGGTAAAAAAATTTGGTAATGAAAGATTATACATCAAATTTTAAGGAGGGAGTGTGGAGGAAGTGAATGTGTTCAGATATCTGGGAGTGGACTTGTTGGTGGATGGGTCCATGAAAGATGAGGTGAACCATAATATAAAAGAGGGGGAGAAAAAGGTGGGTGGTGAATTGGGACATCTGTGGAGACAAAACATTATTCATGAAGAAAAAAAAAGGGGGGGGGGGTATGCACAAGAGTATAGTATTATTATTATTATTATAATCAAAAAAGAAGCGCAGTACCAACACTCGTATATGGGTGTGAAGCAACAAGTCTGGAGGCATTGGAGATGTCATGTCTGAGAGCAATATGTGGTCTAAATTTTATGTAGAAAATTTGTAATTAGGAGATTGGGAGGAGTACAGGATTACAAAGTACAGTAGAACCCCCATTGTCCACTGATTCGGTACCCGAGGTTTCCGTTATCCACTCTTTACTGTGGCCCAAAGATACCTCTTAATTTTGCATAATAATGGCTCAAAGTAGAAAAGCAGTTCTTAAAGCCTAAGAGAAGCCGTGAAGTGCTTCCCATCACTGAATAAGTGATAATTCTCCACTTATTGTACATAATTTATCAAACTTTATAATAGGTATGTATCCACAGTTTTAGTATCCATGGCAGGTCCTTGGAACGTATCCCCTACAGATATGAGGGTCCTACTGTATTATCCAGAGCTGTTGAGGTGGTTTGGGCATTTAGAGAAGATGGAGCAAAATGGGATGACTTGGAGAGTATATAAATCTGTAGTGGAGGGAAGACAGGGAAGGGGTTGGAAGGAGGGGGTAAAGGAGGTTTGTATGGCTTGGACTTCCAGGAGGCATGTGTTGGATAGGAATGGAAGCAAGCAGTTTTTACGAATTGATGAGTTGTTAGTGTGTGACCAAGGTAAAATTTATGAAGGAATCCAAATTTACAAAAAAATATTTTAAAAACAGTCCAAAATAAACACTAGACATTCCAGGCACTAAAGCAACATTCCTGTGTTTATTACTTATCCTCAGCCTCTTCTCCTATTACACTTGCCCTCCATATTGAATTCATAATTGCACAAAATTAGATTTACCATATTTCTCGGATAATAAAATATAACTGGGAATGATTGGTCATGATTTACAACCTCCCAATAACCAAGACTAAAAAAAAAAACCCACGAAGCAGACTGGGGGAGAGGGGAGCCTTACCTGTCCTCTGGAAAATTGTCAAAAATGTACTGTTTCTGCTACTTTGGGCCCAATTTCAAGGTACTTTGGTCTTTAAACCAACCAAGACCAGTACAATATTGTTCATTCTATCAAATGGTAACAAGAAACAAGCTAATAAGACCATCCTAGAGAACACCTCAAACTTGCTATTTTAAACCAAACACAAGGTCAGAGGTTTGCTTTTCCCAATCATTCACCATGTGGGGGAGGTTTTTTTTTCTTATACTGTGCACACTGATTTTCTCATATCTAAGCCAAAATTTACCACTCACAACTTATCTGAAAGAGCTGAGCTAAAAATGTAGATCTACGTAAGCAGCTTTGGAGTCAAAATTGTAGATCTACATATAAAAGGGTTAAACTGTCAAGTTTAATAATGTTCTTTTGAAAATTTACATGGATGTTTCTTGTTGATCTGGAAATGTGTGGAAGAGAAACATTTGTTTGACATAGTTACTGTGTATTCCATATAAAATGGGTACACACTCCTTCCAGAGAAAACAGATATTTCTAATAATCTGCTCTCATTTTGTTTAAAAAGAAAAAACTGAAGACCAATTCTTAAACATCCAGTATTACTAGTATTCTTTTTTATGTCATGGTTAATATCCAGAGACAGGATAAGGTGATAAAAAGACAGTAAACACAAGAGGAGGGCGGGATGGCTGTGAGGCCAAGTCATCTGCCCAGCTGCCCCAAGCACCACCTTGGCTGGGACAGCAGGCGATGACCATGTTCTAGTCACTCGTGGTTTTCAACTGTTAAATCTGTTTCTTGACCAATCTCTTCCAAATAAATCTGAACACTTACATATGCAATGTGATCATATACAAAGTATGAATGCATTTAGTTAAAAACTAACCAAGGAGAAAATGTAAATTCAGCCTTAACAAAAATGTAAATATAAAATCTATGGTTCTTGACCAATCGCTACTAAACAAACGTGAATTCTCAATAACTGCATAAAATGAACACAATATGAATACTAAAAGAAAAAAAAAATTTAATTCAACTATCAAAACCGAGCTGAAAGAAATGGGAAAAAAAAAATTAAGTCACTGTGATTGGTGGTGAACCTTTAGAGCAAAGTGGAAATACAGAAGTTTAATTGCAAACGGGCATAATTGCAGTAGTGGTTGTCTACTGTGTATATTTTCCTTTAAAAATGTGACAGGTGGATAGACTAAGTAGTTTTTTATATGGTGCTACAGAGAATGCTATAAAATCAATATGTATAAATCCATCAATATTGTAGTTCTAGTGAATAATGTTAGGAACCCCGTAATGTTCAAGGGTACATATATATGACCTGGTTACAGGAGTTTAATTCTTATATATCCTACACTTAAAAGAAAAACTTTTTTTTCTCTTTGGGCCACCCTGCTTTGGTAGGATATGGCTGGTTTGTTGAAAAAATCTACATTGCAGGGGATTCTAAATTTGTCCCTGAACTGTACAAATACATCAGCATAACAGGCTAGGTTTGAAAATAAAAATGGCACTCAGCAACCTGGTCAATGTTTCTTTCAAAACATGCAGTGCCTCATGTGCAGTGCCAGTGTAGATGCCTTGCTTTGATAACGTCAAGTGAAACTTTAGTGTGCAAGAAAATGCATTAAAACTGCAATCCATATGAAGGATTTTTTTTTTTTTTTTTAAGTAAGACTAATGTTGGGAGAGGTATAGAAGGCTGAATATGATTGATATACAAAATATTTTAGGGTATACATAGGGTAGACAAAGATTTCTACAAGATGGGGGCAGATGGGGGCATGGTTGCAAGTTTAACACCTAAAAGCCACAAGGATATTAAGAAGCATTTCTGGAAAATAAAATATGAAGTAGAATCAACTGAACAATGACACACTTAAAGAGACTAATTTCTTTTCGATCAGGAGAGGAAGGTGCCTGAAATTTTTTATTTCTTTGAAAATACTTGGTATGGAAATCAAAGGGAATTTTCCCCATGACAAAATATGAAGGTACACATCAAAACAAAAATAATAATAGCTAATTCCTGTTGTCCCCTCAAGGGAAGTTCCTTGACGCTGGTGAGGGGCTCTTGATCTAGGGAATTGGATCTGTGCTCTGGTTCCCTGAATTGAGCCTGAATACTTTCCATCCCCCTCCCCCCACATGCGCTGTATAACCCTATGGGTTTATGGCTCACCTATAATAATAATAATTCCTGTCCTTATCTTCTAAACATCATATACAACATGTAAGTAATATGTTAGGCAAATGTGAGAGATGAAATATCATAGTTAAAAGCCATAGCTTCAAGTATATTGGAATTTTACATGCATTTCCAGTATTGTCAAATCAACCAACTTCAACACTTATAATTCATTAATAATAGAGTTACCATACACAAAGCTTATAACTATAAATATTGTCATAATTATACTTTGTAATCATTGATAAATGAACTAAAACAATCTCTAAAAAGCAGTCTTCTCAAATAACTAACAAGTGACAATAGCAGCCATGAAAACTTAATTTCATTTACATATTACACCAGTAGTGTAACTGTTTCCGCAACTCAGCAGTACAGAATGCTGCATGTCTTAACACGCGCTTCTTCTTCAGTGCTCTCTACACAGTGTCTTGAGCTGTGGTGGGAGGAAGATGGAAGTGGATGAAGTTGAGATGTACAAAAACTTCACAGGTGTAGACCATGTTGATTACTTGCTGTCTGCCTTTAATTGGTTATTTTCTAGATTGTGAAGTATAATTATAACACGTGCAGCCATAAGTATATGCTGGTATTTGGTAAAACACAAAATAATATGATAAGTTAGTGTTAAAATAAGTTCATATGACAAAGCAGGGAAACAATGTAAATTTTAATATTTTTCAGTTTTTAATGCCAATATTTTTCCTCTTGGCACCTAACTTAACACATGATTTCCACGATGGCGCTTGATAAGGCACGTTATTAAAAGTAAAAGGATACACATTTAAGAGGTAAGATGAACACCCCCACCCAACTAATCATCACCACTTGCTGATAATGAACTTTCCATCACATGCTAACCTAATATCTATAGAGCTACATGCATAGATAGCTGTTTGACTAGTGTTAAATGACTTTTGTAACATTCGTAATAAATTTAGGGACAAAGATTGCTTTCTTGAAACCATTTTCCCCTCACTATGAATATAATTTTCCAAGGCATAAAACAAAGGGTCTGAATATACAAGGAATCCATATCAGAACTTATGGTATCCCACTGCAGGACTCGATCATATTAGTCAAAAGTTAAGCAGTGGGACCAAGAGCTCATTCCCTCCTTGCCAAGTTCAAATAGGTAATTACAGATCCATCCAAGCATTGCCTATAACATGGTTCATGAAACTTTGCTATACGACACAGACTGTGAACTAAGGCCCACAAACGAGTTTAGACAGCAAACACTAAACCATCATGCAGTTTACCACCAGAATACTAGTGAGTGATGCAAGACCTGCTGACTGATTCAGCTAAGAACACAGACTTTAGGGTATAATATCCTGTCTTTAATATTTAATCACAATTTAAGATTTTCAGTGGATGTAATCCTTACCTCTTTTTGTTACCCATTCTATTATTCTACTACTGTTTACAAAGACCGTTATAGTATAATTTCAACATTACTTCAATAGTTACAACTTGTGTTTCCCCATTGAATTGAAATGATTTACAATCTATACTGATAATGTCTTATACATTATGCTAGGTCTAGATTTAAATAGTATGTAAGCCTAATGATTAGTTTGCCTGAAATGCATTATATAATTAGTGGCTTTCTTCTGTGCCTACATTTGTATCAAATTCTGTATATCTACTGGCACTCCTGTATGGCTCATAAGAAATAAAATATTTATTATTTTATATTTTTTTAATTCTTTCTCGCATACTTTATTATATGTTGTTATATTTTCTCACCTTTTCCATCAGCCAAAAATAGCATGTCTAATATGTGAGTAAAATAAAATGTACCAAAATAAAAGTACTGTACTTCTGAATAAAAATGTATACAGCCAGAATATTTCTGAGATTAACCTTATTACTATATTTGCTCCTCACTAATAGCATAAAAAAAAAGCACACTTACAGAAGACAATTCAATATTACACTTACACAAGAGAACATAAAAGTGAACTGTGAAATGTTTGAAACCTTTGACTAAGGTTTTTTGGCACACTAAAATCATTTTTTTTTTTTTGTAATATAATGCCATGTGTATTTATTTATCTATCTTGTATTATCACCTTTATGCCAAATCATATTGAAAAATTTAATTAAAGGAAATGCTTAATTAACCAACTTTTCTCTATAACAGACTTAACCATCCTATTTAACAGCACACCTACAAAAGTAATATTTAAGATCTGGAATTAATGAAAAGTATTATTAACATTTACCAGATCTAAAATAAAACAACAGCTGCATTAGTGATGCACTCAGTTGTTTGTAATGCATACTATACATTCTGTGGCTATGAATATCTGATAGCTGTACTTACATCTAAGAATATACAAAATCTAAAAAAATCTTTATAGAACATGAATGGCATCACTTCAACAGGAATTAGCTGACAAACAACAAATGACATACCACTATTCACAAGTCAAATAAAAGAAACTATCCTACATAAAAAAAAAAGACAATTATTTATCTTCCTGGGTTACACCAACTTAAACATATTTTAATGTCACTGTAAATACAAAACAGTGTCAAACACCACTGTCATACTAACTATACTGTGACTTCAAACTTGGACACATTTCAATAAACAACAATAAATAAAAACCTACAGTAAACATAATGCCCTTTCAGGTAAAAGTTTTCAAAATAAGAAATATAAAAACTTTATAATAAAAAAAATACTATCACTTCATGCTGGTACGTATGTACGCATGCCCACACAAAAATAAAGTTGAGGGGCGGAGCCAGAAGCTATGACCTGATCCTTGCAACCACATATTGGCGAGTACATACACAATTATAAATAAACCTCGCACACACGTGTGCACACACACGTGCACACATGTGCACACGTGCGCACACACACATGCACACGCACACGTGCACACACACACACACACACACACACACACACATGCACACACGTGCACACACACATGCACACACGTGCACACGTGCACGCACACACACACGCACACACAGAGGCTAAGTCATGGCACATCTCCCTCTCTCTCTCACACACACACACACACACACACACACACACACACACACACACACACACACAAAAAAAAAAAAAACCACAAACACCCACACAGTAGCGACCATTGAAGAGGCGGGGCTAGGAGCTGTGACTCGACCCCTGCAACCACAACTAGGCGAGTACACACACACACACACACACACACACACACACACAGTTAATCTGATGATGTTACCTCAACGGCAGCCTCCCTGCCAAGGCAGGATGAACCACAGAAGAAAATATTCACCAATGTTAATTTAATCATTATCTTTCCAGAAGTGTGTTGACATCATGATTCTGATTACCCTCTGATTGCAACACCCCCAAATTCTAACAAAATGACAATTTAAAAAAAATCAAGCAACATATAACCAATGTATCATGTACAGTGTGAAGAAATGGAATGAATTCCTTTATCAAAAATTGTTTACATGAGGGTCCAACCCATTAGAAGGGTGGGGGGGGGGGCTCTTGCCCAACAGAGGGGTAAGATTTTTACTCAACAATGCAACAAAAACCCTTTTGCTAGGCAAGACCACATAGACCAGAAAATTACCCCAGTTCATTGACAGATGTAGAGACAGTGAAGGAGAAGTTCTTTGGAAGAAATGTCACTGTAGCAGTCTGGCTCTGATTTGTAGTTTTACCCGCCTCTTCCTTCTTTAAATCTTCTGATTTTGTATCGGGTCACAAAATTTTAGCAATACCCAAAGAATCCTTCATCATGTACTCCCTGAGAGCCCAGAGAGCATTAACAACAGTGCCATGAGTACCAGGCCCAGCAGCAAGCCACTGTGCAGGAAGACGACCTGAATCATTTATCACTGTATTTTCTTGAGTAGCCATCAAATGTCTCTCCCAATTACTGAGGAAAGGCTTGTCCAAATTTTCAATATATCTGAAAAAATTCATTGATTTAGATCATTCAACTTTTTGTTTTGTACTGTATGATCTGCAAGTAATTTAGAAAACTGAATTAACATTTTTTGTCATACCCATTATTTGTTTTTGTTTTGGTGAACAACCCTTAATTAAAAACTAACTAAAAAATTTTACTGATGTGCTCACATTTCTCACCCTTAAATCTTTCATTTTCCCAGAAATTCATTCTTATCAATGTCTAATATTAACTAAATTAAAGCAATATTTAAACAGATATAGCGTGTAAAACAAAATGAGCTCAATGTTTAAATCAATTTATTATACAGATAACATGAATTTGGAGAGCTGACTATGTAACATTTGCTAATATATTAATTAATAACCCTGGAAATATAATTATTACTTTGTTGAAAAAAGCAAACTTACTTAATGTAAGCTTCTGAATGAAGCAGTCTCTGTGTCTTGGGGGGAGGAGCTACAAAAATGGGATCAAAAGACCTTGCAGGAACTGGACTACCATTCACACCTAAGAAAGAGAAATCAGTCAACATAGTGCATATAACCAACTCTTTAAATTACACTTGGTGTTTTATGTTTTAATGAGCATGTACATAAAGTACTGAAATAGTTTTTTCTGTTTTACCATTTTCCACCAAGACAGGGTGGTACAAAGAAAACATTCACCATCATACCTGAACAAGAGAGAAATGTTACAAGCAGGTGGGGTTATAGTTTTAGAGTGGTTGGTATATCTTATCAATGTACAGTGGAACCTCTACGTGCGAGTTTAATCTGTTCTGTGAACTCGCTCGCAATTGGATTTGCTCGTTTGCAGAGTCAATTTTTCTCATTTAAATTAACTGACATGCAATTAATCCGTTCAAGTGGAATTCTGTACTTCAATAATTTCGCTAATATCAACTTTACGACTTATTTATCTATCTCACTTGATCTAATATGACATAATAAACAATATAATAACATAGAAACCTGATATATACTCTAAAATTAATAAAAAATGTAATTCATGCAGTGGTATGGGCGGTGTCGGAGGTGGACGACAGTTTGTCTGGAGATCGGACAAAATACTCCTTGAATATTTTGCTATCATCAACTCTACGGCTTATTTATCTATCACAGTTCATTTATTATGACATAACAAACAATATAAATAACATAGAAACCTGATATATACTCTAGAATGAATAAAATATGTCATTATGTAACAGGTGGGGGCAGCCACAATCGCTCCCTCTTTGTTGTGGTAAACACTGCCATCTAGTGACGGCCTTTTGAAGCCATCTATTATTATAATTTTTATGTAGTACATTATTATTATATATGTATTATTATTTTTTTTTTTCAACAAGTCGGCCATTTCCCACCGAGGCAGGGTGACCCAAAAAGAAAGAAAATCCCCAAAAAGAAATACTTTCATCATCATTCAACACTTTCACCTCACTCACACATAATCACTGTTTTTGCAGAGGTGCCCAGAATACAACAATTTAGAAGTATATACGTATAAAAAATACACAATATATCCCTCCAAACTGCCAATATCCCAAACCCCTCCTTTACAGTGTAGGCATTGTACTTCCCATTTCCAGGACTCAAGTCCGGTTATATAAAATAACCGGTTTCCCTGAATCCCTTCACTAAATATTACCCTGCTCACACTCCAACAGTTCGTCAGGTCCCAAATACCATTTGTCTCCATTCACTCCTATCTAACACGCTCACGCACGCTTGCTGGAAGTCCAAACCCCTCGCCCACAACACCTCCTTTACCCCTTCCCTCCAACCTTTTCGAGGACGACCCCTACCCCGTCTTCCTTCCCCTACAGATTTATACGCTCTCCATGTCATTCTACTTTGATCCATTCTCTCTAAATGACCAAACCACCTCAACAAACCCTCTTCAGCCCTCTGACTAATACTTTTATTAACTCCACACCTTCTCCTAATTTCCACACTCCGAATTTTCTGCATAATATTTACACCACGCATTGCCCTTAGACAGGACATCTCCACTGCCTCCAACTGCCTCCTCACTGCAGCATTTACCACCCAAGCTTCACACCCATATAAGAGTGTTGGTACTACTATACTTTCATACATTCCCTTCTTTGCCTCCACAGATAACATTTTTTGCCTCTACATATACCTCAATGCACCACTCACCTTTTTTACTTCATCAATTCTATGATTAACCTCATCCTTCATAAATCCATCCGCCGACACGTCAACTCCCAAGTATCTGAAAACATTCACTTCTTCCATACTCCTCCTCCCCAATTTGATATCCAATTTTTCTTTATCTAAATCATTTGATACCCTCATCACCTTACTCTTTTCTATGTTCACTTTCAACTTTCTACCTTTACACACACTCCCAAATTTATCCACTAACCTTTGCAATTTTTCTTTAGAATCTCCCATAAGTGCAGTATCATCAGCAAAAAGTAACTGTGTCACTTCCCATTTTGTATTTAATTCCCCATAATTTAACCCCACCCCTCTCCCAAACACCCTAGCATTTACTTCTCTTACAACCCCATCTATAAATATATTAAACAACCATGGTGACATTACACATCCCTGTCTAAGACCTACTTTTACCGGGAAGTAGTCTCCCTCTCTTCTACACACCCTAACCCGAGCCTCACTATCCTCATAAAAACTCTTTACCGCATTTAGTAACTTACCACCTATTCCATATACAGTACTTATAACATCTGCCACATTGCTTCCCTATCCACTCTATCATATGCCTTTTCTAAATCCATAAATGCAATAAAAACTTCCCAGTTTTCCACTTTATCATTTCTACATCTACCACTACTGTTTCTGCCACTACTACTACTCATGACCTCCCACCCCACACAGCCACCTTCACCTCCCTGTTCTACCACTCCCTTTCTCCATCCCCTCATATATATTTAGGTCTTCCCTTCCCATTTTCCTTCAGTGTGGCTTGTTAATGGTCCAAGTCAGAATGAAATGTCATCATAAGTTTCAGTCTAAGTGCTAGTTATGTGTGTATTACTCAGAGGGTGGGGGAAGGGCTTCGAGGTCGTTTGGACAAACAGACAATGGAGCAAAGCAGAATGACTAAGAGGGTATATAAATCTTGGATAAAGGGAAGTATAGGTAGGGATTGTCCCAGGAAGGGTTGGAGGGACGGGGCAATAAGGGAGAGTTTGAGTGATAAGGGGCTTGGTCATCAATTGATCTTATGTGAACATGTAAGATAGGAGTCAAGGGAAGTAGTTTTTATGATTTACTGTTGGAGTGTGAGCAAGGTAACATTTATGAAGGGATTCAGGGGAACTGGTTAGCTGGACTTGAGTCTTGTAGGTGGCAAGTGCAATGCCTACAATCTGAAGAAGGGGTGGAGATGGTGAAATTCAAAGGGTTATATGAGGTGTGATGTTGGAACACTTTTAGCAAGACAGTGATTAAATGTATGACAGTGAATGCATTTCTTTGTTTTTGGGTCACCCTTCCTTGGTGGGAGACAGCTGATGCATAAAAAGAGAGAGATTGGAGCAAAAGCTGTATGCTACTTACCTACAGGTGAATAGGGTAGATGGCCCATCTGACTGCTGGGTACAAGCCCAGAGTAAGAGGTCATCACCATTCCTGGAGGGTAGGGGCTTCCTCGACCTTGAAGTAGTCCTGAAATCATGCAGCTCATGCAAACAACCAGAGACCATTGGGAACATGCAAAATCAAAGACTCAAATTGAGTGAGGAAAAAATAATCAAATCAACTGTATAAATAAAACTTAGGTAAAAATTAGCTGTAATTTGGAAGAGTCATGACCTAGATGACTATACTGATATGTATCTCACATCTAGTGAAATGGTTGTAAACTCTTGGTTAGTTACCATGTTTTTTAAACTTGCTTTGGTTCCCACCACATTTTTGATGTACTTCATATTTCACATTGACTGGTTTAATGGTGCACATATTTCACAGTGACTGGTTTAATGGTGTTCATATTTCACATTGATTTAATGGTGCTCTTATTTCAAAATGACTGGTTTAATGGTGCTCTTATTTCACAGTGACTGGTTTAGTGGTGCTCATATTTCAAAATGACTGGTTTAATGGTGCTCATGTGGAGTCTGTGGAGACAAAAAACTTTGTCCATGAAAACAATGAGGGGAATGTATGAGAGTCTAGTTATACCAATGATCTTACATGGGTGTGAAGCATGGGTGGTGAATGTTGCAACAAGGAGAAGGTTGGAAGCAGTGGAGGATGCTGTCAGAGGGCAACGTGTGGTGTGAATATATTGCAGAGAATTCGCAGTTTGGAAATTAGGAGGAGGTGAGGGATTACCAAAACCATTATCCAGAGGACTGAGGAGGGGTTGTTCAGGTGATTTGGGCATGTAGAGAGGATGGAACAAAATAGAATGACTTCAAGAGTGTATAAATCTGCAGTGGAGGGAAGGTGGGGTAAAGATAAGATCAGCCTAGGAAAGGCTGGAGGGAGGGGGTGAAGGAGGTTTTGTGTGCAAGGGGCTTGGACTTCCAGCAAGCATGCGCAAGTGTGATAGACAGGAGCGAATGGAGACAAATGGTTTTTAGGATTTGACGTGCTGTTGGAGTGTGAGCAGGATAATATTTATGAAGGGATTCAGGGAAGCTGGGAGGTCGGACTGGAGTTCCGGAAATGGTAAGTACAGTGCGTGCACTCTGAAGGAGGGATGTTAATGTTGCAGCTTTATAACTGTAGTGTAATAGCATGTCTGGCAAGACAGTGATGGAGTGAATGATGGTGAAAGTTTTTCTTTTTCAGGCCACCCTACCTAGGTGGGAAACAGCCAATGTGTTAATAATAAAAAAAAAAAATTAAAAATAATAATAATAATAATTGCTCTGGGGCACTTTAAATGCCATATATTACATTACTATAGACATTTTCATTAAATAAGAAACCTGGTACGTATCATATAAACCTAATACATACAACTATAGAAGAATAAATTGACATGAATATGAGATGTGTAGCCAGGCCAATTTCACACAAAGTTCAAAATATTCCAATTTCAAAACAGGGTTCAAATAAACAATGCAGACATTGTTAGCACTAAAATAACATTTATTCTGTTCATTAGTTATGTTTCCAGGCTTTACATAGGCTTTATTTTTTGTTCACAAAGAATTTTTATTCACACCAAAAAATAGAAGATTTACTGTTATGCAATATTGAATATGTAATTGTATAAATAATATCAGCACATTCATAAATGAATATTAGACCGACCAGTTGACATGTATTGGATGCATGATGTGATTTGTTCATTCTTGAACATCGGCAAAAACTGAATATTTCTATTACTTTGAGCTCAATTTCAAGCTATTTCCAGTCCTAAAACCAATCAAAATCATCTCTACTTCTGTAATATATCTACCATTCTATCAAATGAGACCAAGAAACCTATAAAAACCATGAGAAAATACACCGCAAAGTCATTGTTTTAAACAAAAAACACTAGACAATTTTTTTCTCATTTTGCACTACGTGCTACAGGATTTTTTTTTATATGGTGCACACTTACCACAGACCCATTCTCTCATATCTAGGCCCAAATTTACCACTCACAGCTTATCTGAGTAAGATGAGCTCATCAATTAGTACTACAGCACAGACACTGGCTTTAAACCCGCAGAACAATGGCATGGACCCTGAACTGGTTAAATTCAGGTCAATATCAGCATTTGTGAACTATGAAGTAGGATATGTAGAAGGAAGAAAAGGACACAAATAGAACAAGTTAAAAATAACACATAAAAGTAAATAAAGGTGTCTCACACTAAAGCACAGCTTATCTCATACCATGTCAACGATTGTGAATTTACCCAAACTTCAGAGGTACAGTGGTACCCCAAGTTTCGGCCATAATTCGTTCCAGAAGGCTGTTCGAGTGCCGTTACCGAACGAATTTGTTCTCATAGGGAATATTGTAAATTAGATTAGTCCGTTTCAGACTCCCAAAAATACACTTACAAAAGCACTTACAATAATACACTTACATAATTGTTGGAGTTGGGAGCTGTACGAAACTCTGGGTACCACTGTATGCCTAGGTCATGCTTTATGGTATCAAATATTCCACAATGATAAAATGCAGACATGCTCCATAGAACATCAACTTTTTAGTAATTTATCATATAGTGCTGACACTGACACATACAAACAAACAGTAATGTTGCATTAAGTCAAAAATCACTCAGATATATACATCTCTTCTATGGCTCTCTAATATATTAAAAGTACCAAAATATAGGCAATATACTTATCTGCAGTGAACAAAGAGAAGCATACACTTACAAAATAATAATATTATACCAGAAGTGGTAAAAAAAAAAACTGCTACACATCACTCCATTCCAGACCTTAAGTTTTATTTTAAGTTAAATATATCCAAGCAACCAATTTTGTGATAATTTAATAAACATACACAGATACAACTGCCATTTTTGGCTACATGACGGCTGCATCAGTGTACAATCAAGTTTTACACAATATCCATTTTATTATAAAATGTAAATAGCTTTTTTTTTTTTTTTAACACATCAGCTGTCTTTCACCAAGGCAGGTGACCCAAAAAGAAAAACTTTCATCATCATTCAACACTTTCACCATCACTCATATATAATCAATGTCTTTGCAGAGGCACCCAGATATGACAGTTCAGATGTCCCTCCAAACAGCCAATATCACAAACCCCTCCTTTAAAGTGCAGGCACCGTACTTCCCATTTCAAGGGCTCAAGTCCAGTTAACTGGTTTCCCTGAATACCTTCACAAAATATATGTATAAACCAAAAATATTTTTATATGATCATAATGACAAAAGTCCCCAAGTGGTGAGAGAAAGTGATGCAATAAACAAATGAACTGGCACACCTAGAGGAAAACTTACCCTGAACTGTGGACTGAGGAGAACCAGAGGTGGGGTATGTTGTGGTAGCTGGAGTAGCTGGGGTTGGCTGCAGGGATAGCAGTGATCGCCGAGTTGATGCTACAAAGTTCCTGTTCAAACAATAAATTATGTATAAATATTCCATTCTCGTCTAGACACTTACAAGGATGGAGACAAATAGAATAACTAGAAAGGGTAAAAATCTTGGGTAGAGGGAAAGAAGGGTAGGGGTTGTCAAAGGAAAGGTTGGAGGGTCAGGGTAAAAGGTTTGAGTGCTAGGGGTTTGGACATTCAGCAGGCTTGTGGGAGTGTGTTAGCCAGGAGTGAAGGAAAGTGGTTTTTGTGATTTACCTTGCTGCTGAAGTGTGAGCAAGGTAATATGTATGAAGGAAATCAGGGAATCTGGTTAGACAGACTTGACTCCTGGAGGGGGAGATAGAGTTCATGCACTCATGAAGGAGGGCTGGGAATGTTGAAGTTTGGAGGACTATATGAACTGTGATGTTAGCATGCTTCTAGCAACAGCAATTGAATGAACTATGGTGAAAGTGTTGTCCTCTTTTTCAGGTCACTACCTTGGTGGGAGCCAGCTGGCATGTTGAAAAAAATTTATTAGAATGCCATGGTGTGCAATCTTAGATATAATAATTTAATTTATGATTTACATTTTAACAATTCAACCCTTTCACTGTCTCTCACATAAACCTATATCATCTAGGCTAGTGCTGGTTACACAAATCTATGTCTTGATCATAGCGTCCTCAAGTTTGCTGTGGTCAGTAACTGTTGACCTAGACATGAGAGAATGAGCCTGTGCTGTAGGTGTATAGAGCATAAAACAAACCTCCCATGCAATACATGATGGGAACAGCTAACCTCTGACCTTGTGTTTCGGTTAAAATAACTTTGAGGGTGGTTTTCAGGGTTTTTGCAGCAGTTTTCACTCTACACTTTTTCCCTTTATTTGATTCAGAGGTTACTGTTATTTACTAGATTCGTTTCCAGCACTGGAGAGATTTACTTTATATGTTTACTGGCACAGTTCTTTGTGCATATTTAATACAGACTTTGCATGCTTCTATGTTCAGCTTTTACAGGCACTGGTGATGATTTATGGTGCTCATGACTGTTTCCCAGGATATGTCCAATGGTTCTTTGTTAATTTTTCCAAATCAATTCTCTGGTTGTTGAAATTAAATTTACTGAACACCCTTTCCTGTGCATTTTTTTTTTGTGTGTATAGAGGGAGGGGGGAGCAACACTGACAGATTTTTAACATTTGTAGTGGTGAATACTGGGGTAGGACGTATTTTTGGTTATTACATTTTTTATTTTTTTTTTTTCCAACACACTGACCATCTCCCACCGAAGCAGGGTGACCCAAAAAAAAAGAAAAAACTTTCACCATCATTCACACATAATCACTGTCTTTGCATTGGTGCACAGATAATGACAGTTCAGATGTCACTCCAAACAGTGAATACATATGATGAAATATATTAGTGACAGTAAGAACAAACTTGAATGATAATATGATTTGGACCAAGATTGTTGCTTTTGATAAGTTTACTGGTTTCCATCCAGGGAAAAATCTTAACGAGCTCCTCAGTGACTGTGTTGTTCAGGATAACAGATCATTCCGGTTGGTCAGGAACTTATTTGAGGACCTCGTCCAGTTCCCTTTTGAAGACAGCGAGAGGTTTGTTGGTAATTCCCCATATACTGGGAAAGAGGGCACTGAAGAAAGAACCTCTGACACTCGACAAGTTCTTTCTTAGTGTAGTCATCACAATCCCGGCCTTTTATTGGAGGTACTTTGCATTGTCTGCCAAGTCTCGTGCTTTCATACAGAGTGATTCTCGTGTGCAGGTTTGAGACCAAACTCTCCAGGATTTTCCTGCAATCTCACCTGCCTTGAAGAAAGCTGTTAGTATACAGCATATGAACTGACCAAGAGGATGTACTGTATATAGACTGGGGCAAGGATAAAAGGAGGAGCAGGGTATATTACAAATAAGGCTGCAAGGAAGATACAAAGAAGGTTTTCAGAAGTAAAGACTAGCACATTCATCTGGCGTGAGTGAACATGCTATGTTTGATCTGAGTGAGCCGAGACAAGTGGGTTTTGAGTTCAATTTTTCGTGCACTGTTGGAGTGTGAACAAGGTAACATCTATGAAGGGAACTGGGGAATTCAGTTAGCCAGACTTTAGTTTTGGAAAAAGGAAACATTTTTCCTGGATTCTGAAGTATGGGTAAGGATGCTGCAATTCAGTGGATCAATGAGTGACAATTAACATTTTTTCTTCATTAAGTCATCTTACTTTCATGGGAAATAGCACATGTTGAAAAAAACAGTTAATCAATCAGAAGTAAAGGCAATACATTATAACATTTCAAGAGTCACCTGGACCGGTCATGGTGCTGTATGATACGTCCAGTGTTTTTCTGTATGTGAACTTCTCGTACGTGTCTCACCAGCCTTTGTACCATTGGAAAAGGTGCCAGGGAGCTCTTTTTGTGTCTGGAGCAACCTCGCCATCCACACTCAAATACTGTAGGAGTGGTTTTATGTTTAAATAAAAATAAGGCATAATACAGTATTCAACAATGTAAAAATAGTTCAAAAAAATATTTACATTTTCAAAGTTAATGCCATGTTTCTAAGATTAAAGTAATATTAAGACATGCATACAATTTTTTCTATAACAATAATGTGTTAAGTCACAGTGACAGACTAATCCATAGTAAGGTGAAGCTGATAATTAACTAAAAGTTAGGTCAAACAATGTCAGATATTAATAAAACTTAATCTTCCATAATACTATTCATAATAAATATGGAATAAGCACATTGTTGAAATATACATTTTATGAGCAACTGATACAGTTAAAAAAGTCCCCCTTGCAACATTACCTTGTGTGACCTTATGGACATGGCCTGTGCTTTCCAATAACAAGTGATCGCTGAGATCAGCAAGGTCCTCAAACATGAAATCACAGCTCTCCCACATGCACTCAAACACCACGTCCGGGTTATTTGGTAGAGGCAGGTCTGGGGTTGTCTGCTGAGGAGTGCTCTGAATACCCAATACACCATCAGCAAATGAATCGTTTCTATATTTCTGAATGTATGGTACCATAAATAAGCCAAAAATTTTCATTAAATCCTATACACTGGCAAAATAACAAATGTAACCAACTGCTAAACAAAACCCAAAAATAAAAATATCAACTGTTAGAAAAGGTCCAACCTGTGGTGTTTGAGGAGAGTCTGGGCCATTACCACTCAAGGCACGCTCAGCACTTTCCAGGTTCATTTGATGGGCACGATCCTCATAAGTCTTGCGGTCAGTTTCTGTTAACCGTTTCCACTCTATCCCAACCAAGCGAGATATTTCTCCAAAATTGGCACTAGGATTTTTTAATGTTATACTTTTTCTGATTTCTGCAGCAAATAGTATGTATCCTGTCATCTGCTTCTTCCCTGTCATCTGTTGAAATTGTTTCTGAAAAATCAAAAAAAAAAATAAAATTATGCTATTGTTTTCAAGTCCACTGTACATGCAACATTTCAAGTGTTTCTTTTGTTCTATTTGGTGATCCTCCTCAGATTTGTATACAGCATTTCTTTTGAGTTCTTCTTTTTTTTCCATACCTAAGCAGCTGGAACTTATCACCATTGAACATCATGTTTTTCTTCATTGCCCACTAGAAAACACTGCTTATATCTTCCTGTAATTTTTACCGTGTCTTCTATTGTAGTGACTTTCATGCTTATTTTAGTGTCATCTGCAAATGATACAAAACTGTGACAGGTATTTTTATCTATGTCTGCAATGAGGATGAGAAACAGCAGGGGTGCCATGACAGTGCCTGGAGAAACTGAGCTTTTTACCTTGATGATGCTGGATTTTACTGTTTACTACCACTTTTTGTGTTGTGTGTGTGTTAGGAACCCAAAAATCCATCTCCTTACCTTCCCTATAATGCCTATGGCCCTCATTTTGTGGACTATCGTGGTAGCATTTGTCAAATGCCTTTGCAAAATCTGTGTATATCACATCTGCCTCTTGGTTATCTTTCAATGCCTCCATAATTCTGTCAGTGATTCAGCAGTTGTGACAGGCATGATCATCATGCCCTAAAACCATGATGGTTTGGGTTATGCCAATTGTGCTTTTCCATGAAATTTGTAATCTAGGAAGTTAGGGTTATTGGTCTGCAATTTTTAGCTAGTGCTCTACTACCTCCCTTATGCAAAGGAGCTATGTCTGCACTATTTAAGGTCTCCGGTATTTCACCTAGATCTAGGCTCTTTCTTCAGAGAATACCAAGGGCTCATGCTAGTGGTACTTTACACCTTTTTTTTTTTTTTTTTTTTTTTTTTATAAACAGAGCATTCCATGAGTCTGACCCAGGTGCTGAATGAGTGGGCATGTTATCCATTTCTTTTTTGAAATCTATAGGATTTGTACTAATATCAGTTAGTTGGTCTGCACAGCCTTCTGCTGCAGTGAAAAATGTTTCTGCATTCTCTACCTTGCTATCATTTAGTGCGTTGCTGAACACGACTCATACTGTTCTTTTAGAATTTCATTCATTTCTTGTTCATCATTAGAATGTGAGTCTCCTCTCAATAATGATCAAATTCTACAGGTAGTTTTTAGCTTGGATTTTGCATAGGAACAGAAATATTTTGGGTTTCTTGCAATATCCTGTATGCCTTGGTTCCCTTTGTACTTCTTCTGTTTGATATGATATCCTAAGTTTTTGCTCTAATTCAGTGCTCTCTCTACTAAGACTATCTTTCCTCCTTTGTGACATTTGTTTTTAAGCAATACAGTAACCGTTTTCTTCTTCTGTATCATCTCCTATGCTCTCTCATCTGATCTGGGTTTCTTCAATGGACATGTTTAACTCTTTCACTGTCAGTGCCATAATATTACAGCTTGCGAGCCAGCGATGGTGCCGTAATATTATGCCAAAATTATAGCGGCTTGAAATCTCGCAGAGGAAAGCTGGTAGGTCTACATACGAGAGAATGGGTCTGAGTGGTCAGTGTGCACAGTATAAAAAAAAATCCTGCAGCACGCAGTGCATGAGAAAAAAAAAAACTTCAACCGCATTAGAAATCTTCCTTATGAAGAAAGATTGAAGACTCTTAATTTACATTCACTTGTTAGACAAAGAATGAGGGGAGACCTGATCGAAGTATATAAGTGGAAGATAGGTATTAATAAAGGGGATATTAATAAGGTCTTGAGGATATCTCTCCAAGAGAGAACCCGCAGTAATGGATTTAAATTAGATAAGTTTAGATTTAGAAAGGACACAGGAAAGTATTGGTTTGGAAATAGGGTAGTTGATGAGTGGAACAGTCTACCTAGTTGGGTTATTGAGGCTAGGACTTTGGGTAGTTTCAAATTTAGGTTGGATAAGTACATGAGTGGGAGGGGTTGGATTTGAGTGGGACTTGCACATCAGAGCTTATTTCTTGGGTAGCATTGAGGATTGGGTTGGTCAAGTGTTTTGTTGGTGGGATGAATTGTAAAGGACCTGCCTAGTATGGACCAACAGGCCTGCTGCAGTGTTCCTCCTTTCTTATGTTCTTATGTGTTCTTGGTTTAAAACGCAGATTTTGCGGTGTATTTCTGTATAGTATTTATGGTTGTATTCTCATTTTCTTGGTTTCATTTGATAGAATGGAAGATATATTACAGAAATAGAGATGATTTTGAATGGTTTACAGACAAAGTACCTTTAAATTGAGCTCAAAGTAGCAGAAATGTTCAATTTTTGCCAACGTTCAAGAGTTAACAAATCACGTCACACATCCAATACACGTCAACTGGTGGGTTTATTATGCTTTCATAAATGCACCGATATTATTTATACAATTTTTACAATAATGCAGTAGTCTGCATAACAGTAAATCTTCTATTTTTTGTATAAATAAAAATTCAAAACGAAAAGCAAGCATAATATAAGACAGGCCTGGAGAAGTGACTAATGAGCAGAGGAAATGAAATATTAGTGCCAGGAATGTTTGTGTTGTAAATTACCAATTTCTGATCACTTTAGTGGGTAATTGAAATCGGTAAATGGGCAGTTTCTTGTACTCAATAGAACAAATGGAGTTCTACCAAAATAGCCGAGTTTGGTCAACTGGAACAATTTAATTGGCCTAAAATAGACCCCAAAGTGGGCAAAATCACTGATGCATAAATATCACAGAGTTTGCTAACGTCGCGAGAGCATAATTCCACGAGTTTTCCATCAAATTTCGTACTTTTGGTGTCATTACCATCGGGAAAAGATTCTCTATCATTTCATAAGAATTTTTTTTCTTCTTAAATTCTTCGACACTGAGAGCAAGTTTGTGAGCAGGGGTCTCGAAAGTGAAAGGGTTAATACAGACCTTGTGTGCTTCTATTTTCAGCTTCTCCAGGCACTCGTGATTTCCAGGATATGTCTGATAGTTCTTGGTTTATTTTTTCCCAGTCAATTTTATGGCTGTTGAAATTAAACTTACTGAACCACCTCCTCTTACAATAGTGCTGTAGTTCCCTAACCTTGAGTTTATACTTGTCTGTATGTTTATAATGATGTGATCAGAGTATACTGTTTTTGTAATTATGTGTCTGATTAGTTCCTCACTGTTTGTGAATATCAAATCCAGGGTATTTTAATTTCTAGTGGGTTCAGTTATCTGTTGGTTCAATGAGTACTTTTCACAATGCCTTATTCATTCTCTGGTATGTACCTGTTGAGCCAGGGTGCTGCCAGGAGATATTTCTGGTATAACGTTGCATTGAGTCATCTTCCATTTTACATGCGGGAGATTAAAATCTCCAAGCAGTAGAATATTTGGTGTGGGATTTCTAGCTTAACCAGACAGCTATCTATCTTCCCTAACTGATCTGTGAATTCTTCAGTAGTTGCTGACGGTGGTTTATATACTAGGATAAATACCAAATTCCTATTTTCAACTTTAATGCCTGGAATTTCTACTGTATCATTCAACGAGTTCAGCAATTCTGTGCAACAGAAAGTACGTATCTTTCACACAGAGCCCTCGTCCTCCCTGTGACCTATTAATTCTATCACATCGATACACGTTATAGTTTTCTATCTTTACCTCTCAATCTAAAACATCCCTTGTGTGTGTTTCTGTAAATGCTCCAAGCATGGCATTCGCTTCTGAGAGGAGCCCACTAATATAACTAACTTTGTCATTTCTATTTGATTTTAAACCCTGAATGTTTGCACACAGAAATCACTCCCTAAGAAAGCAAAAGACTTGGCAGGCGGTTCAACATCCCCCAGTGAAATGCAAGAGTGCCATGAGTACACTAAGAGACAACACAATAGGTGTCAGGGGCCCTAGACTGTTCAACCGCCTCCCCAGCATACACAAGGAGGATTACCAACAGACTCCTGGCTGTCTTCAAAAAGGAGCTGGACAGGCACGCAAAGTCAGTTCCTGACCAACCAGGCTGTGGTTACTAAGTTGGTTTGCATGCGGCCAGCAGTAACAGCCTGGCTGATCAGGCCCTGATCCACCGCAAGGCCTGGTCATGGACGAGGACATGGGGGCATAGACCCTCGGAATGCCCTCCAGGTACAGGTAATATATATATAAAATATTTTATTACACATTTTTTATTATTCGCATCAATTTTATATAACCATGCACTGCATTTTTAAAAGGATCTTGTTATAATAATTCTCATGAAATATCTACTGCACACTCTAGCCAATACTATACCTCAAAATAACACAATTAAATTTATAGTTTTAACATACTTTACAGCAGTAACTAACAATAACTGCTCAGGACAAATGTTTACATATACAGTATATAAAGGCAGACATACACCAGTTGGAGGTTTCTTGGTAGATTTTGGGGTACCAGCAATGATGCCAGAATCTACGGAGGCTACAGAAGGTGGCGGCCCATCCATAGAGTCTTCGTAATCCAGGTCCATACGTGGTGTCATTGGAGAGGATTCCTGAAAATAGCTCTTAGTGTTGTTAATGGCACTAGTGGCTGGCATCACTAACATAGACACAACATATCTGGGAGACTTATAAATGATTGCACATCTCTTGCACATCTTCTCATAATTTTTTTTTTTTTTTTGCTACACTGGCTGTTTCCCGAGACGATAGGCTCACTGACAGAACCTCTATAATGCAAGCACAATACTTCCCACATGGTGATATATTAAAATTTCTTACACCAAACTGAATTTCAACACACCAGTGTTGCTTTAATCTACATATTGAGGAGATTATCTCTGCTCTCATTTTTAATAAGAGGTAAGTACAATATTTGCACGACTACATGACCAGCAATGGAATTATTCAACCAATGTATTATTCAACTGTTAGCAGAAGTTTAAATGTTTAATAGAGATTCAATAAGAAATCTTAATATAAGAAAGGTAAAGCTCACAACATGACAAACAAAAGTGAAAATATCGGTCTTCATTATATTTGTAAAATATATAAACCTTTACAAAGGTCACATGTTTACAAAAAAAAAAAATATTTGTAAAATATATAAACCTTTACAAAGGTCACATGTTTACAAAAAAAAAAAAAAAAATCAGTAACTAGACAGTAAGAATAAGGGGGAAGTATAGAAGATAGAAATGACTCTTGCCTTTCTCTCCTCATAATTTAGTTTTTTAAAATGCACATTCAAAAAAATTCTTAAATATATAGTTAATATTGTTAAGCATCAAAAATACGAAGTTATTTTGATTTTATTAATTAATGACACAGAAGGCATACTGCAAATGTGAAATTAATTTCACTGCTGAGAAGACCTGTTTACATCACCCATACTTCTGAGATGAAGAAAAAACTGAGGTGCAGTACACCTCTGTATCGACCTCACTGTTATCTGTGACATTTTTATGTGACCAGGAAAAAGTTGCCACATAGTAAATGCATTAAACAAGTAGCTCTATGAAATATCTGGCAATAAACTACTATTTACAGAGAAAACAATGAAACCAGTAAAACTGACAGCAAACTACTGAAAAAAAGCATATTAAGTTAATCATTGGTGAGAGTCTAGAACTGAAATGATATGGTTTGTTAAAACTCTGTAGTGGTTTTTACATAAATCAAAGAAGAGCAACAATCCTCACTTTGTATGTAAAGACAAAGCTACAACAAGCCTTCATCTTTGCCTTCAGTAGCTAAAGCAGCAGCTTTTATCGTCTAGTCAGTGAGACTTATAGTGACAGTATAATGTAATGCCAACACCAGTTTACCACCATGCAGGAGCAACATTGGCACTGATTTATAAGAAACTTTTTCTTTTGCTACTAAGAAAAAAAAACACAAAAGTTAAAAAAATAAACTATATAGTAGACAGTGGACTTACATAGTTCTGTGGCTGCTTCTTCAGAGGAGTCATTGAAGCATCCAACTGAAATTACAAAAATGGCATTGTGGTAATTTTGTTGCTGAAATAAGACACTCAGTAAGATATTTTGCAAAAGCAAACAACAAAATGAGAGACGGATTCATCTGAGTAATGAACATTGTTTTTAATTTCATTGACTAAAAAACCGAGCATGCAAAATTAAAAACAATATGATTATTATTTTCCCCTTCTCCTGTATACACTACTAAAGTTAAAAATAGAAACTTTCATTTTTCTTTTTGGGCACCCTGCCTTGGTGGGATACAGCCAGTGTGTTGAAAGAAGATTACTGTTCAGGAATGTATCTAATATTATAACATGACTGTTTATGAGAAAATAAGTTCAAAGTTCTGAACAGTAATTACAAAAGATTTTCATGAACGTTTCTCAATTAAAGGTTGTGACTCTACTGTATACAATATTCTTATAAGTTTAGTAATACAGCAGCAGTTTCTGTAAATATTACCTTTTGTAAACTAAGAGGTTTCTTGAAGGTGTAGATTTCATCTCGTGTGGTCAAAGAAGAATGTTTAAATTTGCGCAGACCACTCTGTAGCAAGCTCACTCTCTGGTTCATCTCATCCAAGAAACTCTCACAAATATACAAGTCACTTTCACTTATCTCTGTTGGCCGTACTGTAAGCAAAAAATCAAAATATATTAGTTATATGCCTCGGTGGGAGACGACTGACTTGTTGAAAAAAAAAAAAAAAAAAAAATATGCCATGTAACACACTTATATTTCTCAGGGAGAAAATGAGATTGGTTTTTGTCCCAAGTCTGTAGCTCAAACAGTTCCAGAGGTAAAGATCACGAAACTTTTACCGAAAGGTCATTTTTGGCAGGTCATGTGAAATTTTGAAATGAAATACATCTGCTTGTATGGTACCTACAGACCTGACAAACATCATACCATTTTGAAGCTAAAGAGTAGCTCTTAAAATATTTATCAAGACCATTTTTGATCTCAGAGGTCAAACAAAAAAGTTGACCATTTTTGTGACCTTTGACTTGCAAAATTTCAAAATGCACATTTTTTGTTTCACCCCCTAAATGTGGATTAGTCTACATGACTACTTCACACTGCAACAAGACCTTTCATGGGTTTTTAATTAGTTTAGATGCCATATCCATTTTAGTAAACCTACTCTATGTAATTTTCACCTTTGACCTTTGCCATAAACTTCTCCAGATCGCACCTCTCAAATATCTGAAGACATTCACTTCCTCCATACTCCTTCCCTCCAATCTAATATCCAGTCTTTCATTACCTATTTTTTTTTATTATCCTCATCACCTTGCTTTTTCCTATGTTCACTTTTAATTTCCTTCTCTTACATACCCTTCCAAACTCGTTCACCAACCTCTGCAATTTCTCTTCAGAATTTACCAAAAGCACAGCATCAACAAAAATCAACTGTGACAACTCCCACTTTGTGTTAGATACTTCATCTCTTAATAATCCTACAGATATTTTATCTCTTAATAATCCCACACCTCTAGCCACTACCCGAGCATTCACTTCTCTTACAATCTCATCTATAAATATATTGAACAACCATGGTGACATCACACATCCTTGTCTAAGGCCTACTTTTACTGGGAATAATCTCCCTCTCTCCTATACACTCTAACCTGAGCCTCACTATTCTCGCATTCCATACATTTGCAACATACCACCCATTCCATACATTTGCAACATCTGCCACAGTGCTTCCCTACCCACCCTTTCATATGCCTTCTCCAGATCCATAAATGCAATGAAAACCTCTTTACCCTTATCTAAATGCTGTTAATCTATATTCTTCATTGTAAACACTTGGTCTACACATCCCTACCCTTCTTAACCCTTAAACTGTCCAAACATAGATCTACGTTCACTCGTGTGGCACTCCGAATATTTTGAAAAATAATTTTTTTTTTCTTTTAAAATGAAGAGCACATTTTTCTACATGTTATAGGGTTATAAAAAAAATTTAGGGATATAAGACCGTGAAGTTAGTTCTGAATGCTCACCTGTCGGCAATATCGACTCCTGCCACTTGCAGGAGTGGCAGTTTTTATTTTAATTTATATATTTTTTTATGTTCTGATAATTACAGTTTATAATAGTTCTGTAATATCAGCCAATCTTTGTTCTGACACTAATATTAGGTACTGAAATAGTGCTCAAATAGTTACAATCACATTGACAGGTGAACATTTACACCTGCCTGGGTTATTTACTATTGTCTAGAAATATATACAAAGTATTTATAGGTCCCAGCAATGTTTTAGAAACCCTGGCATATACCTTGAAGCATGGTGTTATGAAAGGCATCCCTATACTGTTGACAGCCTAGTGACATTTGATAAATGCCCACTGCTCCAGCTAACCCTCGCTGTATTTGTTATCACTGTTACACACAAACATGTCTTGTCTGTATTTATCTGTCTGTATCTATCTGCCTGTCTATCTATCTGTCTCTATCTGCCTACCTGTCTGTCTCTGCTTATCTGTCTTTCTGTCTGCCTGGAGTATATGTACATCACACTCCTTGAAGAATCGTGTTATGGCATCTGTTATCAACTAGGTGACATTTGATAAATGGGTGCTCATAGAACCCTGGCTTTATTTGTTTTCACTGATACACACAAACATGTTTCTGTCTATCTGTCTGTTTATGTCTGTCTGTCTGTCTGCCTATCTTTGCCTGGAATTTTTGGGTTATCCTAGGTAATTTACACTATGTATAATAACTGTACTTGTGTGTACATATGAGACAGAGATATAGATAGATATACAGATAGACAGAGAAATAGATAGGCAGAAATATAGACAGATAGAGGTATAGACAGAAACAGCCAGAGACAGCCAAAGCAAGCCAGCTGGCCAGCCTGCCAAATACATAAGAACATAAGAAAGAAGGGACACTGCAGCAGGCCTACTGGCCCATGCAAGGCAGGTGCGTGTCACCCTCCCCCCCAGCTTAGACCATGACCCACCTAGTCAGGTCACATCCATTGAAGGAAGGAGCATGACATCTGACCTAGCAGCACAAGCTAGTCAGGTCCAACTCACACCCACCCACACTCACTCATGTATTTACCTAACCTATTTTTACTTTCCTCTTAAAATGGGAGTGTTCATGTGACATGGCATCAGTGAATCCCTGGTGTTTTCAACGTTATTTGCTCTAGCTGGTGATCAATTGAACTGGTGCTCCCACAAGGTACTAAGTGCTCCCAGATTTTTTAATAGTGCTCACACTGAGTGCACAGACCCATTCTTTCATGTCTAGGCAACTCAAACCTGTTGTGCCAAATTTGAAGGAATGAAAAATAAAACGTTGATCTACATTTGGAGTGCATCGCGTGCAAATGTACATCTACGTTTGGACAGTTTAAGGGTTAAAGGGTAGGGGTGTTTAGACCTCCTTGTGAGCAGACCTTGTTCATTTGCAATCCTAGTCTCTGTCTTACTCTTAATTCTTACAATAATAACTGCCGTACACTTTATCAGGTATACTCAACACTTTTTCAACAAACTAGCCATATCCCACCGAGGCAGGGTGACCTAAAAAGAAAAACAAACATTTTTCTTTTTCAATTTAGTAATGTATACAGGAGAAGGGGTTACTAGCCCCTTGCTCCTGGCATTTTAGTCTCTCTTACAACACACATGGCTTATAGCTCATGGACCGGGCCGCAGGGGCGTTGATCCCCGGAATAACCTCCAGGTAACTTCCCCAGGCAGGACTCAAACTTTTTTTTTTTTTTCAACACAACAGCCATCTCCCACTGAGGCAGGGTGACCCGAAAAAGAAAAACTTTCACCATCACTCACACAAAATCACTGTCTTTGAAGAGGTACCCAGACATGACAGTTTAGATGATGTCACTCAACCTCCAATATCCTAAACCCCTCCTTTAAACTTATTTCCCTATAATTTTTACATGCTCTAATACGAAGGAACTATGCATGTTCTCTGCCAATCCCCAGGTACTTTCCCCTTCTTCCATACATTTATTAAATAAAAGCACCAATGATTCCAAAACTAGATCCCAACCTGCTTTATAACATTCATGTCTATCCCATAAACCCCAGCCACTTTACCTCCTTTTATTCTAGCCACTCTCATGCACCTCCCCCACACTCACAACTGGGTGTTCCTCACTCCTACAAAATGTTATACCACACTGATATGACAGCAAATTGAATGAAAGCCAGAGATAAATTATAAACATTAACAAAGGGAATTTATTAATGAGAAGCTATTCTTGCTGTTGGTGGAAGGGTATGAAGCAGTTGCTGGTGTCTGAGAAGCAGAAAGTGACCTTGCATGCCTGCCACATTCATTTAGAATGATGGATATTTTTGTGTCTGGAGCACAACTAACTGTTCTACTTCAACTCTTGGAAGACTAGACAATGCTACAAAATCATATTGTGCCCATATGAGTTATATACCACCAGGAAATGGGAAGCAATCAGGTTTGATCCAGTATCACAACAAATGGGTAACTGCTAATCAGTAGTATAATTCCTTACATACTGACCTCATAAATGAAGACAGCACTTACAAGTCATTACTTACAGGAACAATAATCCTTAACATCGAGAACACAACAACGGCCACTTATGTCGGATACAGGCAAGGTTTCCTGACCAGCAGTAAGGTACACCTCTTGTTTGTAAAATAGTTGCTCTCCATTGGGGTTGTTCTGGGCTGCATTTTTGAACACTGTACCCAGGAAGTATGCTGTCCCTCTGTAAACAAAGATAGTAATCAACAATTTGATTATTGCATTGCATATCTTTTATACAGTGGAACCTCAAAAATCGAACGTATCACATATCGAACGTTTCAAAAATAGGACCATTTTTTCAGACAAACTGTGTCCCTATTATCAAACGCGCCCTTATTTTCAGACTGCCAGGTACAGGACCTGTCCGCCGGCCTGCTCTGTCCACGTCCCCGCGCAGGCGCCGTGAGCAGTCTAGCTTTGTTTATGCTTGAGTGAACACTAACCTGCGCTCTCATTCACGCATTTTACGATTATTTCATTGTGTTTAGTGCTTGTGGGACTGTGAAGTAAGCTGCCATGGGCCCAAAGAAACTTGCTAGTGGTACCCCTGTGGTAAAGAAAGTGAGAAACACCATAGATGTGAACAGGGCCGGATTAAGAAGTCTCCGGGCCCTAGGCTATTCAGATTGGCGGGGCCCCTTTGAGTTACGGGTAAGCGAAGCGACCCCTTCCAGCTTAGGGGTGGGGGGGTGGGGGGTTGGTGTGAGCCTGTTTAAGGTCTAATTAAATACATTCTGGCTATTTAGATTAAATTTAATAGGGAAAGTACATCAAGACAACCAAAACCATTTACCAACAGCCATTATAACTATCTTGTTAAATCATGCATTTTAAAGAGAATAAACTCAAGACAGCATAGTATTACTAGATTAGGCTATTAAAGTAGTGACATCATGTACCTATTATATTCAGCATAACCACTACAGCACTATTATTCCCTTTATAAATCACTGACCATTATTGTTATCATTGCATCATGCATAAGACTATCAAATCATATAAACTCAAGAAAGTAAAGAATTGTTTATATTCACAGGCACTTCTTAAATAAACTTTTTTCTGGATTTCATATTGGCAAAAATCATCAATTATATTCTGAAAATCAATATTTCTTGTTAGATCAGACTCAATGGTCAACAAGGCTAGGTTACACAATTTGTCTTGGCTCATTGTTGAACGGAGCTGGTTTTTCACTCTTTTCAAAACAGAAAATGAACGTTCTCCTTCACAGTTAGTAGCTGAAAGTGTTAGGTAAAGGCGATACACTATGTCAACATTAGGGAAGGTTTCTGAGATACCAAGCAAGAGGAAACGCTTTGGTATAAAGTTGTTTGTGCTTTGTGGTTGTTACAGTGGTCTGGTATTGGATATTATAGTGTACACTGGAAGTTATACATTGCAAAATACCAGGAAGTTATTGAGCATCTCAGGTGATGTGGTTAGAACAATGATAGAACCATACCTTGGTAAGGGGCATATACTATATACAGATAACTGGTACACAAGCCCCTCACTCAGTGATTTTTTTGTGAGTGAACATGACAGATGTGTGTGGCACAGTGCGTGCAAATCGGAAACATATGCCCAGGTTTGACGCTGGCACTCGTAGAGGTGAGGTGCAGGCGTTTGCTGCCAATGACATCATGGCATTTCGGTGGCATGACAAACGAGATGTCACACTGTCGTCATCAGTTCACCCTAATGAAATGGCAGACAGTGGCAGGCAGCATAGAGAGAGCAATGAACCCATTCTAAAACCTGCAGCTGTGATTGATTACACCTTCAACATGAGTTCAGTGGACAAATGTGACATGAAGATTGGGTTTGCTGATTGTGTTCGCAAGAGTTATAAGTAGTACATCAAACTGTTTTTCCATCTTCTGGACATTTCCATGCTAAATGCTTATAATATGTATAAGATGAAGACCAGAAACAAACCACAGTATGGCAAATTCTGTTTGTCTGTCATCAGACAAATAGTATTCAAGTACCAAGGAACAGCACCTGCAATTGACCGCCCACCAAATTATCAACAACTACCTGCTCGTCTGAAGCATGGTGATCACTTCCTGGTAAAACTGCCTGCTACTGCTTTCAAGAAAAAGGCTCAGAAGAGGTGTTACGTCTGTGCACATACAAGGAAATGCCCACAACAACGCAGAGACACTTGTTTTATGTGTGAGGAGTGTAAGACACCACTGTGCATGACACCATGTTTCAAAGAGTTCCACAGGCTGCAGAACTTCTAGAAACATTCCCTGTGACTGTATATGTGTATATAAAATATAGAAAAATAGTAATAAACAACATTTCATATCGTTTGTTTGTGTAAATATTTTCTATAAACAAAATAATGACAACAGTGTTTATGCCCTTATTGTGTAGTATTGAAAAAGAAATAACTTACAAAATACTGATCATGTTGGCCTCAGAGGCCATAAAAGTTACTCAGAAAAAGAAAAATTGAAAAATAATTGAAAATAGTACATAAAAAAGTAAATAGAAAAATACCGGGTGACGGCAGTTGGCGATGTTACCAGATGTTGTTCAATTTTGGCAAACTTCACGCCTCCGTATCTCGGTAAGTATTGACGGTAAATTTTTTTTGTTTAGCCCATAATGTTTAGAAAAAAAAAAACTATTTTTTCATAAGAAAAAATAATTTCTTTTTTTTTTGAAATTTGGCCGACCCTGAGAACGAGTTTCGGAGAGGACCTGTCGACCCTCGAAGGGTTAAATCACTTGATACCCTCATCACCTTACTCTTATCTATGTTCACTTTCAACTTTCTATGTTTACACACTGTATAAATATTTAAAAATATACTAAAAATGTTATAAGTGGAGCAAAAGTGACAAAACAATATCAAAGATGTTTGACACAAACCCACTATTATTATAGTATGTTCCTTGCTTAGTGACGAATTCGTTTACTGATGTGGTCTTAGGAACAGAACTCTGTCGTTAAGTGATATGAGGCTGTATTACTAAATTTAAAGAGAGAAACTTTCGTTTTTTCTTTTCGGCCACCCTGCCTCAGTGGGATATGGCTGGTTTGTTTAAAGAAGAATAGTAGTAATAATAATAATGAGAAGAAGGGAATGTACAAGAGTATAATGTTACCAACACTCTCATAAGAGTGTGAAACATGGGTTGCAAATGCTGCAGCGAGGAGGAGGTTGGAGACAGTGGAGATGTCATGTCTAAGGGCAAAGTGTGGTGTAAATATTATGCAGAGAATCTGTAGTGTGGAAATTAGGAGGTGGTGTGGAGTTACTAAAATTATTATTCAGAGTGATGAAGAGGGGTTAGTGAGGTGGTTTGGTTATTTAGAGGATGGAGCAAAATTGGTTGATTTGGAGGGTGTACAAGTCTGTAGTGGAGGGGAGGAGGAGTAAGGATCATCCTAGGAAAGGATGCAGGGAGGGGGTAAAAGTGGTTTTTGTGTGCAAGGGGCCTGGACATGCAGCAGGCATGTGTGAGCATATTAGATGGAAGTGAATGGAGACTAATGTTTTTTGGGATCTAACAAGCTGTTGGAATATGAGAAGGGTAATATTTTGTCAAGGGATTCAGGAAAACCGGTTAGCCAGACTTGAGTCCTGGAGGTGAGAAGTACAATGTCTGCACTTTAAAGGAAGGGTTTGGAATATTGGCAGTTTGGAGGGACTTCTAAACTGTCGTATCTGAGCGTCTCTGCAAAGACAGTGATAATGTATGAATGATGGTGAAAGTGTTTCTATTTTTGGGTCACCCTGCCTCAGTGGGAGATGGCCAACATTTTGAAAATAAAAAAAAATTTTTTAGTAATCTAGTCCACCTCGCTTTTTTTTTCTTTTCTTCTTAAAGGCAAAATCTCCAGATGTACCATCCTGATAAAACATCTTAATTTTTACTGCTATGGAAAAGAGGTTAAATCATTTGTACCATTTGTACCATTGGCTTCTTGGTAAACACTAGGTCTGGTACTGATAATATGTCACCTACTCCAGTAGCTTATTAATGCTCTCATGCATAAAAAAAAAAAAAAGTCATCACACTGAGAAATTTAGTCATTGGTTATCTGTTAAGTCACATCCTCTGTTCAATCTATATCTTTGCAAAAAAAAAAATCCCACTATAATTTTTTCATGGTGAACATTCACTAATAACACATTCAGTATATTATTTTGCCTACTATTTATCCCATGATTTATTAAATAGCAGGCAAAAGATATTAAAAAAAAAAAAGGAGATTTTTACCTCGTGTGTACATGCACACATCATATACAGAGGAGCAAGGGGCTACAAAGAAAATGTCAATGAGGAACTTACTCAGGCGTAACCCAGAGTTGACATATTTGTCTGACCGACTTCTTGCCCAATTCCCGTCCTCGGACATACACATAGTCTCCTGGCTTGATGGCGCCCGAGGAAATATTGTACTGCTCGTAATATGTGTTACCTGATAATCCTTCTGGTTGAGATTTTACCACATTCTGTAAGTGTACAAAATTGACTGATTAACCTTAATTTAAAAAATAAACTTGTGCAACCTTTTACCTAAGTGCAGCATGCCACCATTGTTTGAATAGCATGGGTCAGCAGGCCTGCTGCAGTGCTCCTTTTTTATGTTTTATGACCATCTCCCATCAAGACAGGGTAACCCAATGAAGAAAATGCACTCAACATCATTCATTCAATTGCTTTCTTGCCAAAAGTGTGCTGATATCACAAATCAGAGTACATTCCAACTGCAACATCCTCACCCCTACATCAGAAGGTAGGTACCACTGTCCTTCCTATCTCCAGGACTCAAATCTGGCTAGCTGGTTTCCTCCAATTTCTTCATAAAAGTTACCTCGCTCACACTCCAACAGCATGGTACATTAAAAACCACTCATCTCCATTCACTCCTATCTAACATACTCAAGTTCTGCAGGATGCTCAAGCCCCTAAAACTCAGGCTCTTTTACCCATTCCTTCCAGCCATTCCTGGGATGACCTCTACCACTCCTACCTTCTACCCCAGATTTATATGCCCTCTTGGTCATCCTGCCCCTCTCCGTCCTCTTTACATGCCCAAACTATCTCGGCAACTTCTCCTTAGCCCTCTGAATTATACCCTTGGTCATCCCAAGAGCACCTTTTAGGTTTTATGCTCCAAATTCTCTACATGATATTTGCACCACACACTGTTCTCAAACACGGCATCTCCACTGCCTCTAGCTACTTCCTCGTGGTAGATTTTCATACTCATGCCTCACACACATATAAAAGTGTTAGTATCACTATACTCTGGTACATTCCCTTTTTTGTTCCATTAATAAACCTCTTTCTTTTCACAGATGCCTCAACACACCACCCACCTTTTTCCCCTCTCATCTATTCAATGGTTCACCTCATCTTCAACAGACCTCCATCTGCTGGCATGTCCACCCTTAAATATCTAATTGCATCCACTTCCTCCATACTCCCTCCCTTCAATCTAATATTCAATCTATCGTTGCCTAAGCTTCTTATTCTCATCACATTGTTCTTTTCTACACCAATTTTTTTTTTTTTAAACACATCGGCCATTTCCCACAGAGGCAGGGTGACCCAAAAAGAAAGAAAAAAAAATGAGCTTTCATCATCATTCAACACTTTCACCAACACTCATACACTGTCTTTGGAATATTATTAGAATTAATTTACTACATAACCCTTCATACTGGATGATTCTTTGGTATGCAACATAATAATGCATGTTTACACTTCAATCAGTTGAGATCTGATTAAATTTGTATACATAATGTGCAACTTACTAATTACCAAATACACAGGTCAAAGCATTACCGGAAGCTGGCGGCGTAAGACCTTAGTCTCTTCATCTAGTTCAGCAAGTTCTTCTTTATGGCGTTCAACCCGTTCTTTGAATATAGAGTCAACCCGTTTCATCTCCAAGGGTTCTGGCCTCTCCACCAATCTGACACGTTCTCCCACATTGAATGGGAATGACTGAAAAACAAAGATTAAATTAGAGCTAATAAAAATAACTATGCCAACCCAAAAAGGTACAAAAAAAAACTATTACAGTACATCAATGAATTATACTAACATAATAAGCTACAAAATGCAAATCGTAAGGCTAGGACAGACAGACAGACAGACAGACACAGACACACTATATATAGAAAAGGTCCGATAAAACTGATTAATAGGGGGGGAAGGGGATGTCTGATTTACCAAAAATTCCTTTATATTGAAAGTTTCCACTAAGCAGATAGTTCACTTAATCAATAGACTGTTGGGCATGGACAAACCTCCAATTAAAGCATACTTAGTCTGCTGTACTGATGAACTACCAAACAAACCAAGAACAAACTTGAGTATAATACAGTATTACCTGTAAATGAACCTGAAAGGAAAATGGGTTAGAAGTACAGCACAGTACAACAGAGTACAGTGATTTTTCTTACCTTTCCTGGGGGATAGATAAGCTTACAAATACACCATACAGAAGAGTATTCTCATGTGGTCTAGAGTGACCCAGAATAACTTATTCTGAGTAAGAGGAGCAGTGAAGTTCCAGTAGTAACATGGTAAATGGTGAGGGAGATGTATATGTTACATAGGTTGTTCTGGTAATCAAGCCAAAGCCTTGACAAAAATGCCAAAGCCAACCATTATTTACCCCAAATTCTATTCTCATATGGATTGTTAGCTTCTCAGCCATAGAACAAAATTCAACAAAAGGAACATTGTGCAAGAAAGGTATAAAATACCGACAATATGAAAGTTAAGACACATGTGCAACATCTGGATACCTTTATTGTAATGTTTCGCCACCCAGTGACTTTGTCAATACAGATTGTAGGACATAATTAGGCTGTACTGCATAGGGACAGGGCAACATATGAAGAGCTATATAGGGCGTCCCACAGGGCTGTGGAAGGAAAAGCGATACCTTTGAAGAGTTTTGAGAGTTTATTTACTCTCTGAGCCTGGCCATGGGCCAGGCAACAGCTGAAAAAGAACATCAAAGATACACACCATTACTAACACAAATTCAACTAACCTTGATTTTTTTGAAGAATCTATTACGGCTGTTGTAGCGAGATTCACATACAAATATATCGTTTTCATCTACACCTTCCGGCTTCATCTTTATGTAGTCAACCAGAGGCAGTACATAACACTTTCCTATTACCTGTTCAAGGCAGACAAAAAAAAAAATGTAAGAGGTAAGAAATGCTGCAGCAATTGCAATAATCATAAAACATGATTCATATTATGCATAACTATTCTATTATTAAATATAATATTTTATTACTTATAAACCATTAACCCTTTGACTGTCGCGGCCGTATATATACGTCTTACGAGGTACCTTGTTTGACGTATATATACTCATAAATTCTAGCGGCTTCAAATCAAGGAGAAAGCTGGTAGGCCCACATGTGAGAGAATGGGTCTGTGTGGTCAGTGTGTACCATATAAAAAAAATCCTGGAGCACGTAGTGCATAATGAGAAAAAAAAACTGACCATTTTTTTTTTAATTAAAATGCCGACTTTGTGGTCTATTTTCGTATAATATTTATGGCTGTATTCTCATTTTCTTGGTCTCATTTGATAGAATGGAAAACATATTATAGAAATAGAGGTGTTTTTGATTGATTTTCCTATAAAAAGAACCTGGAAATGGAGCTCAAAGTAGGGGAAATGTTTGATTTTTGCCAATGTTCAAAAGTAAACAAATGTCATTGTCCAATAAATGTCCAACTAGCCATTCTAATATGCAGTCATAAATGGGTTGATGTTATTTATACAATTATTACAGTATTGCAGTAGTCTGCATAATAGTAAATCTTCTATTTTTTGTTTGAATAAAAATTCAAAATAGAAAGCAAGAGTAATATCAGAGGGGCCTGGAGACATGACTGATGAAAAAAGAAAATGTTATTTCAGAGCCAGGAATGTCTGCATTGTTCATTCTGGACCTTATTTTGAAATTGTCATATTTTTTAATTTTCGTGAAATTGGCCAAATTGCAAATTTCTGACCACGTTATTGGGTAGTTGAAATTGGTAAATGGGCAGTTTCTTGTACTCAATCGATAGAAAAAAACGGAGTTCTAAAGAAATAGCTATGATTTTGGTTGACTGGAACAATGGAATTAGCCGAAAATAGGGCTCAAAGTGGGCGAAATCGCCGATTTGTAAATATCGCCGAGGTTGCTAACTTCGCGAGAGCGTAAATCCATCAGTTTTCCATCAATTTTTTTTTTTTTGGTGTCATTACAATCGGGAAAAGATTCTCTATCATTTCATAAGAAAAAAGATTTTTTTTTTTTTTTTTAAATTTTGCGACACCAGGAGACACCTCAGGATTGGGGGTTGCGACAGTCAAGGGGTTAATTGTCCTTGTCTACACCTGTCTAAATTGAACACCTATATTCATAATGCATAGTACCATAATTATCATAATTGTATAAACTGCTTTCATGGGAAACTGCCAATATGAATATAAACAGTGAAGTAAAATCATAAAAATCAATGAATAATGCAGAAATAAAATTCACAACAGTATTTTTCTAGTCACATTAAACAGATTTTGACTTGAACAGGTATGAATAAATTAGAATTGAAGTTCTTGTTCTACCACTGTGCTAAACCTCAAGTTCTTGTTTTACCAGTGTGGTAAAGCCCAACTTGAGGCAACTTTTGCTATTTTTTTTTTATTATTATCACACTGGCCGATTCCCACCAAGGCAGGGTGGCCCGAAAAAGAAAAACTTTCACCATCATTCACTCCATCACTGTCTTGCCAGAAGGGTGCTTTACACTACAGTTTTTAAACTGCAACATTAACACCCCTCCTTCAGAGTGCAGGCACTGTACTTCCCATCTCCAGGACTCAAGTCCGGCCTGCCGGTTTCCCTGAACCCCTTCATAAATGTTACTTTGCTCACACTCCAACAGCACGTCAAGTATTAAAAACCATTTGTCTCCATTCACTCCTATCAAACACGCTCACGCATGCCTGCTGGAAGTCCAAGCCCCTCGCACACAAAACCTCCTTTACCCCCTCCCTCCAACCTTTCCTAGGCCGACCCCTACCCCGCCTTCCTTCCACTACAGACTGATACACTCTTGAAGTCATTCTGTTTCGCTCCATTTTCTCTACATGTCCGAACCACCTCAACAACCCTTCCTCAGCCCTCTGGACAACAGTTTTGGTAATCCCACACCTCCTCCTAACTTCCAAACTACGAATTCTCTGCATTATATTCACACCACACACCAACTTTTGCTATGTACACATTAATACCCTCTGAGCACTGCCAGGATATATAATTAAGCAGCAGAGGAATACCTCACAACAAGTTTGGGACATGTTCCAAAATTTCAGAATGTTACAGGAATCCAAAAATTTTAATTGAAAATAACACTAGTCAGAGTATTGCCTACAATCACATTACTACTTTAAATATATTCATGCAAAAAGAAACCAGTCATTACAATGAAGAATTTAATATAACTTTTTTAGCTGTCCGGGCAAATCTATTTGCTTTTAAGTTGGAAGAAATACAAATTTAAGATGAAAAATTAAATAAAGTCAATAACAAATACACGATTTATGCACCTCAGTGAGTGGGTATGCATGATGCTGGTCAGTTTTAAACACTTCCTGCTCAAAAAACTTGCGGTTCGGCTGATGAAATGTTTCTGCTGGTCTGTAGTAGTTACAACCGTATACCATCTGCCTACCCTCACTGTTTGTCCATAACCGCTCTATGTGCAAAATAGGATAGTCACAGTTCTGAAAAAATAAATGGAAATTATAACAAACAAAAACACACAAACACATGCAGCCATCATCCTCAGACACTGCTGATGTTGCCAGTAATAAGTCTGTGTCCATAAAATAAGGAAGAAGTGTGAATATCTGAACAGTAAAGGGCATATCTTGGTAGTGACAACAGTGATTAGTTAAAAGAAGAAAGAGTGAGCTAGGAATAGAATTACTGGAAATTAATAACAAGCATCTTTATTAATCATCAGCTAGCTAGTACAGCAGGGCCAACAATATCTATATACATAACAGTGGGGCCACTACATACAAGAAAGAGGATATCCCCCCACACACACACATGAATACATAGTAGAGTTACAAGTGGAGAGGGAAGCAGGAAGAGGATGGGAGAAACAAAACTACGAAAGAGCTGACTATGAGGAATTTCCTGCACAAGGTTCAGTGGGAAAGAGAACTGATGGGAAAATTAGTAAATGAAATGATGGAATACGTGACAACAAAATGCAAGAAAGCAGAGGAGAGGTTCGTACCCAAGGGCAACAGAAATAATGAGAAGACGAGATGAAGCCCTTGGTTCACCCGAAAGTGAAGAGATGCCAAAACTAAGCATGCTAGAGAATGGAAAAAGTACAGAAAACAAAGGACCCAGGAATGTAAGTTGAACAGTCAAAAACAAATAAGCAAAGATAAGGAGGGAGACCCAACGGCAATAAGAAAATGACAAAGCATCGAAAGCCAAGTCTGACCCGTAGCTGTTGTACAGCCACATCAGGAGGAAAACAACAGTCAAGGACCAGGTAATGAGGCTGAGAAAGGAAGGAGGGAGATCACAAGAAATGACTGAGAAGTATGTGAAGAGCTCAACATGAGATGTAAAGAAGTATTTTCAGTGGAGACAAAAAAGACTCCAGTAAGTCAAAATGCAGGAGTACACCAACAAGTACTGGACACAATACACATAACCAAGGAGGAGGGAAAGATGCTGCTAAGTAAACTAGATACCTCAAAGGCGATGGGACTGGACATCTCTCCATGGATCGTGAGGAAGGGAGCAGAGGCGGTGTGTGTGCCACTACCAACAATCTTCAACAGATCTATCAAAACAGGGCAACTACCTGAGGTGTGGAAGACAGTAAATGTAGTCCTAATTTTTAAGAAAAGAGACACACATGCAGCATTAAGCTATAGACCAGTGTCACTGACATGTATAGTATGCAAAGTCATGGAGAAGATTATCAGAATAGTGGTGGAGTGCCTAGAAATGAATGAGCTTATTCGCAACAACCAGCACCGTTTCACAGAAAAGAAATCTTGTGTCACAAACCTACTGGAGTTTTTACAAGAAAGTGATGGTGGTTAAAAAAAAAAAAAAAAAGAGGGGGGGGGGGGTGCATTTTCTTGGACTGTAAGGTGGCTTTTTATGGTTCCACACAAGAGAATAGTGCAAAAGTTAGAGGATCAGGTAGGTATTACAGGAAAGGCACTGCAATGGATCAAAGAATACCTGACAGGAAGGAAACACTGAGTCATGGTACGTGATGAATATGGGAATGAGGAAGTAAGACAGTAATGAGGACTGATGAAGAGGGTAATAACCCTCTTTAGAGAGGGTCATTACTCCCCTTCAAGAGGAGGGGATATTGCCCCCTTCATAAACTGGAGATTTTTCTCCACTCCCAAATATCTAAACACATTCACTTCTTTCATACTCCCTTCCTCCAATGTGATATTCAATTTTTCTTTGACCAACTCATTTGAACCCTCATTACCTTACTCTTATCTATGTTCACTTTCAGCTTTCTTTCTTTAAACACCCTCCCAAACTTGTCCACTAATCTTTGCAACTACTCTTCAGAATCTCCCAAAAGCACAGTATCGTCAGCAAAAAGTAACTGTCAACTCCCATTTTGTGTTTGATTCCCCATAACTTAATTCCACCCCTCTCCCCAACATCCTACCATTTACTTCTTTTATGACTCCAACTATAAATGTTAAACAACCATGGTGACTTTAATTTTTTCTTATTCTCAGCAAAATTTGTTGACAAGTGTCTCACCCACTCTTACAACACACATGGCTTACAGAGAATTCTTTTCCACTTCCTGGGGAGATTGTTAATAATATTATGCTTACAGTGGACCCTCGACCAGTGATGGCATCGATTAACGATAAATCTGACTAGCGATACATTTTATCGCAAAATTTTTGCCTCGATTAGCGCTAAAAAACTCGACCAACACTATTCGTTCTGTCTGAGACGCGTCCACTTCTGGCCAGTGTTTACAAGCCAGCCAGCCACCGCAGTCGCTTCCAAGCATACAATCGGAACATTTCATATTATCACAGCCTTTTTAGTGATTGCACCTGCAAAATAAGTCACCATGGGCCCCAAGAAAGCTTCTAGTGCCAACCCTACAGCAAAAAGGGTGAGAATTACTATGGATATGAAGAAAGAGATCATTGCTAAGTATGAAAGTGGAGTGCATGTCTCCGAGCTAGCCAGGCTGTACACAAAACCCCAATCGACCATCGCTACTATTGTGGCCAAGAAAACGGCAATCAAGGAAGCTGTTCTTGCCAAAGGTGCAACTATGTTTTCGAAACTGAGATCGCAAGTGATAGAAGATGTTGAGAGACTGTTATTGGCATGGATAAACGAAAAACAGATAGCAGGAGATAGCATCTCTCAAGCGATCATATGTGAAAAGGCTAGGAAGTTGCATGACGATTTAATTAGAAAAATGCCAGCAACTAGTGGTGATGTGAGTGAATTTAAGGCCAGCAAAGGTTGGTTTGAGAGATTTAAGAATCGTAGTGGCATACATAGTGTGATAAGGCATGGTGAGGCTGCCAGTTTGGACCAAAAAGCAGCTGAAAAATATGTGCAGGAATTCAAGGAGTACATAGACAGTGAAGGACTGAAACCTGAACAAGTGTTTAATGGTGACACTGACAATGTTGTGAAACACTTTAGGAATGTCATAAAGGAACGGGAGGTACAGGCCTCTATGGGCAGATATGTTGTGCAACAGAGGTCCAGTGACTCTCAAGCTGGTCCTAGTGGCATTAAAAGAAGAAGGGAAGTAACCCCGAAAAAGGACTTGCCACCTCAAGTCCTAATGGAAGGGGATTCCCCTTCTAAACACTAAGACCATCAACACACTCCCCTCTTCCCATCTCATCAATCATCGCCAGATCTTCAATGAAGGTAAGTGTCATGTAACTGTGCATGTCTTCTTCAGTTTGTGTGTATTAAAATTAATATTTCATGTGTTAAAATTTTTTTTTTTCAATACTTTTGGGTGTCTTGCACGGATTAATTTGATTTCCATTATTTCTTATGGGGAAAATTAACTTGACTAATGATTATTCTGACTAACGATGAGCTCTCAGGAACAGATTAATAGCGTTAGTCGAGGGTCCACTGTATTGTATATTCACTACTAGTGAGACACTTAGTGATTTTAATGTGTACCTGCATGCCAGCACAGTGTCGAAATTTATTTAGGTACAAGTACACATAAGTACAATTATCAAAGTATATATATAAACAATAACTTTAACCCTTTTGGGGTAGGTCTTGTAGTTCTACAGCTTTGAAGCACAGGTCAGTCCCATTGCTCCATGCCATGAGCTCAGCTCACTCAGATAAACTGTGAGCAGTAAATCTGTGCCTAGATATGACATAATGAGTGTGTTCAGTAAGTGTGCTCCATGTAAAAAAAAAATCCTGCAGCAAGAAGTGCACAATGGAGAAACAAACTGCGACCATGGTTTTGGTTTAAAACAGTGAATTTGCAGTGTATTTTTGCATGGTTTTTTTTGTTGCATTCTCGGTTTCTTAGTCTCATTTAATAGAATGGAAGATACATTACAGAAATAGAAATGATTTTGACTGGTTTCAGTACTGAAAGTAGCTTGAACTTTAGCTCAGAGTAGCGAAAAGTTCAATTTTTGCGGATATTTCAAAGTACACAAATTACGCCAATCGTTCAATACACATCCAACAGGACGGTCTAATACCCCTCGCAGGCCCTTAGCTCTCCTGCAATGCTCCTTTTTCTTGTCCTTAGAGTGACCCCACATGTAATTAGTCCTCTCTCACCCCCATTCCTCTACTACTACCTTTACTTTTGCCTCCCTTCACTCCCCTTTTTTTCTCACTTTTGCCACTAAACTATTCTCCCTACTTTCCACCACCACCATTTCTTATACTACTATTTCTTCCATTACCTACCTACCACTACTACTACTTACACTACCTACCTACTTCCACTACCTACCTACCCACACCACCACTACTACTTCCACTACCTACCACCACACTACTACTATTTCCACTACCTACCTACTTACACTACCTACCTACCACCACTAACTTCTTCCACTACCTAACCTACCACTGCAACTAACTACCTCCAATAACTACCACCACCACTATACTTCTTTCACTACCTACCTACCACCACCAATACTTCTTCCACTACCTACCTATCACCACCACTACTACTACCACCACTACTTCTTCCACTACCTACCTACCACCACCACTACCTACCTACCATCGCCACTACTACTTTCCACTACTACCTACCACCACCCACCTAACCTACCTACCACACCACTACTACTACTTCCACTACCTACCTACCTACCACCACCACCACTACTAATACTCTCAAACCTACCTACCACCACCACAACTACTACTACTTCCAACCCACCTAACCTATACCACCACCCACTACCCACTACCCCCCACTACTCTACTACCAACCACCACCACTAACCTAATCCTACCACCACCACTACCCACCTACCATCACCACTACTCTACTACCCACCCACCTACCACCACCACTACTACACTTCCCCCCTACCTACCTACCACCACCCACTACCTACCTACCATCACCACTACTTCCCCCTACCTACCCTACTACCCACCACCACCACTTACTATACTACTTCCCCTACCTACCTACCTACACCACCACTACCAAACCCACCCCACCATACCACCCACTACACCCCACCCACCTACCTACACCCCACTTTCCAACCTACCCAACCACCACACACCACCACTACCTACCACCACACCACACTACTACTTCCACTACCTACCTACCACCCACCTACCAACCTACCCAAACCCCCACTTTCTCACCTACCACCACCACTACTACCTACCACACCACTACCTACTACTTTTCCCCTACCTACCTTACCACCACACTACCAACCTACCACCACCACTACCACCTACCACCCACTACTACTCCCCTAACCCACCTACCATCACCACTTTTTCTTCCACTACCTACCCCACCACTACCTTCCCTACCACCACCACCACTACTACTACTTTCCTACCTACCTTTCCACACCCACCTACCACCACCATCCACCCCCCCAAACCCACCCCACCACCAATACCACCTCCCTACCACCACCACTACTTCTCCTACCTACCACACCACTACTACTACCCCTCCTACCTACCACCACCCTACCTCCCCCCACCCCCACACTACTCTTCCACTACCTACCACCACACCACTCCTCCACTACCTACCCACCACCACCACCACTGCTTCCACTACCTACCTACCACTACTATTTCTTCCACTATCTATCTACCACCACCACTACTTCCACTACCTACCTACCACTACTACTTCTTCCACTACCTACCTACCACCACCACTACTTCCTCTTCTCCCTCTGGTTTCCGTTCCTTTTCCCACTCATCTATATAGACAGGGTTCCCCTCTCTTTTCTCTTAGCGTTACTTTGTAAGTGGTCCAAGTATGACCAAAACGTTGCCGTAAGTTCGTCCTCTCTATGTGCAGGTTATCTCTGTATTGTTCCAGTCACAATATTCTACCTTGTAGTCTTTTTTTTTTTTTTTTTTAGTTCTGCGTTGATGTTAATTGATTAAATAAGCTGCTATATTTGATTTAGCAATATACATCAAATGTGAAACTGCTTTAATTTGTATTTATTGTTCATAGAAACATTTTAAAACTGCCAATATTACATTGTCTAAGTGGAAAGTGCATTTTTGTGTTTTTTAAGCAAACATCAGTTAGAACAGTTGAGCTATTTAGTTCAGAGCATTAAAATAGTGAAGGGTAATTTCCTATTAGGACATATTTGCTCTGTATAACTGCATATCCATACCCACTATAATGAATAAATTACACTTCACCTTTTCTGGAGGAGAGAGGTATACAAAGTCCCCCACAAAGTACTGAACTTCATTGTGACTTAAACTGCTGTTGTTAGTTCCATCTGTAGGCTGCGGTGGAGGCTGCAAAACATATTACATTAGATTTTGTCACCAGAATGGCAAGAGCATATCCAAAAGGCCTAAGAATTAGGTGATTCAAGTTCTAACAGATGTATATTTGTGTATAAATTGGCATATTTCTATCTGTTACAACAAATTTAAGAGAATTGCTCAGAATTTCTGCATCTTTATTTTTATTTAAGATACAATAACAAATCATATAGAACAAACAGTACAGTGTGAATATACAATATGTAATCTTAGGCTAACCAGCTGGCTAGCCTAAGTGTATAATCTCTGGCTAGCCAGCTGGCTAGCCTAAGTGTATAATCTCAGGCTAGCCAGCTGGCTAGCCTAAGTGAATAAATGGCATTAACACTAACAAAAAAAGGATGAACCATTATTTTGTAAGACATAATTGTGTGATGCTTCCATGTAAAAATCTTTTGTCACTTTTTTTAAGGCAATGATATATTCATTGACTACAATGTGCCATTCTAACATTAAATATATATTGACAAGTTTTCTATATTTATTTAATCCTTTCATTGCTTCTTTCATTAATAATTTTTTATATAAGCCTGAATTTATTCTACTTTTGAAAATTCCCAACAGTGTGTGGTAATTATGCTTATCATAAAAGTTTGTGGTTTACACTCAGTCATCCATTAGTTTAAAACTAGTGATCTGAAATAACCAATTAGTCAAAACATTTGTCAGTAAATATTATAAAGAAAATCATTAAATTGCTTGACAGTTAAAAAGCAAAATTTATGACTGCCAGTATGTGTAATAGCCACTGGCAGCTCCAAGACTACATGGTGAACCCAACACTTAACACCCTAAACACAGAACATAAAAGGTTCATTAAGCACACCTGTACTGTAATTACCGTATTTTGTGGCTTAAAAGACGCGGCTTATAAGACTTGTTTTAGTTTCAATGGCTCGGCATCAGACATAAATGGGATAGCTACAGCCCACCCCACACCCCAAACTTATAGCTCCCATCACTGACCTTCAGTTTATAGGACACTGGGTGGTTTTTGGAGACATTTTATGGAAAAAAAAAATGCGCCTAATAAGCAGCGAAATACGGCATATCCTGAAAAAGATTACCCAATTCCATATATTTTCCAATTACTCCATATTACTTGAGGCAGACAACAGCAAGAGAAAATCATGACTATGTCCAACATCTACCAACAATGTTTTTCACGTTCTACAGCAAGTCGTCACTTAACGTCATTGACAGGTTCTTGGAAACTGCAACTTTAAGCAAAATCACAGGTTAATTAATATAACAACAGGGGTGCACAATGCACCTTTAGCACTCATTGTAACAGGGTTAAATTAAGGAATAAATATTTGAAAAGTAAGGAGCACCTCCTACCACCATGCAATTCAAAAAAATAAATATGGTGGGAACACTGAGCACTTACATACTGCATTGTTTATTGCTGTGCATATGTATGATAACATACACTTCATGATTTTTTTTTTTTTTTTTTACAATAATTTGTATTTGTTCATTCATTTTCCAACCAGGGTCATAGGTGACTGGAGCCTATCCCAGTGGACAGGACACCATTCCATCACAGGGTGCACACTCTCACACACCCATGCTAATACTGGTACAATTTAGACACACCAGTTAACCTAATGTGCAGATCCTCGTGATGTGGGAGGAAACTGGAGTACCTAGAGAAAACGCACGTAGACATGGGGAGAACATGCAAGCTCCACACACACAGTGACCCTGGCTGAGAATCTAGTTTTTTCCCTCATCGGTGTTATAACAAAATGACATTGAATAAAGCGATATTAAGTGAGGACTTACAGTACCTTGCACAACAGCTGCTGTTACACTAACATTATACTGTAATACATGCAATAAGAACATAGTAAACAGGTGATATCACAATATGCAAAATAGCCACAATGAAAAAAATAGTAGAATTCCATGTGTTCTTGTGATTTCTCATATTATCAAGGAATGGTGATAATGTGAGAAATCACAAAATTGCTTGGAATTTCACTACTTTTCCAGTGTGGTCATTTTGCACTATATAATATCTGCTGAACAATGATCAGAATACATGTTTATTTTGTGAGCTTAAAGCTTAAAATTAATGTTTCCTACCTTAGAATCATCATCTTCTCCTTCCTGTTCAAGCCCTCGCTGATTTCTCATTTGCTCCAACTGGTTATTCAACTCCACTTCGGTAAATGTCAAGGCTTGAGACTGAAGAGTTGCCCCGTGGTTACACAGATCGTCTCTGATGTAATGATAAAAGCCTTTAACTATGTATAAATGCATAAAGTTATCAAAAGGTTCCTAGACTGGATATACCATTTGTATCAGAGCATAGCCTATATACACGTATAGGTCTACCCCCGATATTTTCACAAAAATCCTTAATTTTTTCGTATATCTCATGGATAGGTCTACCCTCTTGCTTGAGGGACTTTAAAAGATGTCAAGTGATTCTAATTCAAAATATATTCTAGCCAAAACTAGGGGAGAAAAAATGAAAATGTGACAACTGAAAAAAACAAAAATAAAGGAGCACTGCAGTAGACCTACTTGCCAATGCTAGGCAGATCTACTCAAATCCAACCTTCTTCACTCATAGGTTCAATGGTCATAAAAATGGAGGAACTACTGGCACAAACTTGGCCTACTGGACTATATTAGGCAGATTTTTCTTAAAGGTTACAGCTCTCATTCTATCTTCATATGAAAAATTTCTTATGTAGTGGATTAATTTTGTTATTCTTCTCTGTATATTCTTCAATAAATTTATATCTATTCTGTAGTATAGAGACCAGAACTGAGCTGCATAATCTAAGCGAGTCCTGGAAGTGGGAAGTACAATGCCTGCACTTTAAAGGAGGGGTTTGGGATATTGGCTGTTTGGAGTGACATCTAAACTGTTATATCTGGGTGCCTCTGCAAAGACAGTGCTTATGTATGAGTGATGGTAAAAGTGTTGAATGATGAAAGTTTTTTTCTTTTTTTTTTTTCTTTCTTTTTGGGTCACCCTGCATCAGTGGGAAAGGGCCAACATGTTAAAAGAAAAAAAAACTGTATTTGCGATATAAATAAGCCAACTTTTGTATTACCAGGTCCTTGTGGCCCTTAATGTGCACATTATTATATTTTTGTTATACTGTATGCTTCTCTCTTCTTTTTTTTTTTTACCAACACGCTGGCTATCTCCCACCGAGGCAGGGTGACCCAAAAAAGAAAAACACTTTCATCCCCATTCACACAACCACTGTCTTTACCAAGGCGTTCAGATACAACAATTTAGATATCACTCCAAACATAAGAACATAAGAAAGGAGGAACACTGCAGCAGGCCTGTTGGTCCATACTAGGCAGGTCCTTTACAATTCATCCCACTAACAAAACATTTGCCCAACCCAATTTTCAATGCTACCCAAGAAATAAGCTCTGATGTGCAAGTCCCACTCAAATCCAACCCCTCCCACTCATGTACTTATCCAACCCAAATTTGAAACCATCCAAAGTCCTAGCCTCAATAACCCAACTAGGTAGACTGTTCCACTCATCAACTACCCTATTTCCAAACCAATACTTTCCTATGTCCTTTCTAAATCTAAACTTATCTAATTTAAATCCATTACTGCGGGTTCTCTCTTGGAGAGATATCCTCAAGACCTTATTTATATTCCCTTTATTAATACCTATCTTCCACTTATACACTTCGATCAGGTCTCCCCTCATTCTTCGTCTAACAAGTGAATGTAACTTAAGAGTCTTCAATCTTTCTTCATAAAGAAGATTTCTAATGCTATGTATTAATTTAGTCATCCTATGCTGAATGTTTTCTAACGAATTTATGTCCATTCTGTAATATGGAGACCAGAATTGAGCTGCATAATCTAGGTGAGGCCTTACTAATGATGTATAAAGCTGCAGTATGACCTCTGGACTTCTGTTGCTTACACTTCTTGATATAAATCCAGTAATCTATTTGCCTTATTATGTACGCTTAGGCATTGCTGTCTTGGTTTAAGGTTGCTGCTCACCATAACCCCCAAGTCCTTTTCGCAATCTGTATGGCTAAGTTCTACACCATTTAACTTGTAAGTGCTAGGGTTATGGGCACTCCCAAGCTTCAGAACCTTGCATTTATCTACACTGAACTGCATCTGCCACTTTTCTGACCAAGAATAGAGTTTGTTTAAATCCTCCTGAAGTTCCATAACATCTACGTTTGAATCAATTATCCTACCTATCTTTGTGTCATCGGCAAATTTGCTCATATCACTAGTAATTCCCTCATCAAGATCATTGATATATATTATAAACAACAACGGTCCCAAGACTGATCCCTGTGGAACGCCACTTGTTACAGATCCCCACGCGGATTTAACCCCATTTATGGACACACTCTGCTTCCTGTATGTGAGCCATGACTCGATCCATGACAGCACTTTTCCCCTAATGCCATGAGCTGCCACTTTCTTTATTAGTCTTTGATGCGGAACTCTATCAAAAGCCTTACTAAAATCTAAGTAAATAATATAAAATTCTTTATTGTGGTCAACAGCCTCAAAAGCTTTACTGAAGAAAGTTAATAAATTAGTTAGACAAGACCAGCCTCTTGTGAATCCATGCTGAGTATCATTAATCAAGCTATGCTTATTGAGATGGCTTCTTATAATCTCAGCTATAATGACTAGTAATTTGCCTACAATTGAGGTCAGGCTTATTGGGCGGTAATTTGATGGTAACGACTTGTCCCCTGTTTTAAAAATAGGAATTACATTAGCCATCTTCCACATATCAGACACTACACCTGTTTGAAGAGATAAATTAAAAATATTAGTTAATGGTTCACAGACTTCCAATTTGCATTCCTTAAGAACCCTTGAAAAAACCTCATCAGGACCCGGCGACTTATTTTGCTTCAGTCGGTCTATCTGCTTCACAACCATTTCACAAGTGACTGTGATGTTACATAATTTGTCTTCTTCTAGCCCACTATAAAAATTAATTACTGGAATATTGTTAGTGTCTTCCTGTGTAAAAACCGAGAGAAAATAATTATTTAAAATCGAGCACATTTCATTCTCTTTGCCAGTAAGATGCCCATAGTTATTTTTAAGGGGACCTATCTTATCTCTAACTTTTGTTCTATAGACCTGGAAAAAACTTTTTGGGTTAGTTTTCGAATCCCTAGCAACTTCAATTTCATAAGTCCCTTTTAGCTTTTCTTATCCCCTTTTTAATGTCCCTCTTAATGTCAATATACTGATTCATAAGATGACCCTCACCTCTTTTGATACGTCTATAAATTCCCATCTTATGCCCTAGTATATATTTCAGCCTATTATTCATCCATTTTGGGTCATTTCTATTTGATCTAATTTCTTTTTTATTATTATTTTTATTATCACACTGGCCGATTCCCACCAAGGCAGGGTGGCCCGAAAAAGGAAAACTTTCACTCCATCACTGTCTTGCCAGAAGGGTGCTTTACACTACAGTTTTTAAACTGCAACATTAACACCCCTCCTTCAGAGTGCAGGCACTGTACTTCCCATCTCCAGGACTCAAGTCCGGCCTGCCGGTTTCCCTGAACCCCTTCATAAATGTTACTTTGCTCACACTCCAACAGCACGTCAAGTATTAAAAACCATTTGTCTCCATTCACTCCTATCAAACACGCTCACGCATGCCTGCTGGAAGTCCAAGCCCCTCGCACACAAAACCTCCTTTACCCCCTCCCTCCAACCTTTCCTAGACTGACCCCTACCCCGCCTTCCTTCCACTACAGACTGATACACTCTTGAAGTTATTCTGTTTCGCTCCATTCTCTCCACATGTCCGAACCACCTCAACAACCCTTCCTCAGCCCTCTGGACAACAGTTTTGGTAATCCCGCACCTCCTCCTAACTTCCAAACTACGAATTCTCTGCATTATATTCACACCACACATTGCTCTCAGACATAACATCTCCACTGCCTCCAGCCTTCTCCTCGCTGCAACATTCATCACCCACGCTTCACACCCATATAAGAGCGTTGGTAAAACTATACTCTCATACATTCCCCTCTTTGCCTCCAAGGACAAAGTTCTTTGTCTCCACAGGCTCCTAAGTGCACCACTCACCCTTTTCCCCTCATCAATTCTATGATTCACCTCATCTTTCATAGACCCATCCGCTGACATGTCCACTCCCAAATATCTGAATACATTCACCTCCTCCATACTCTCTCCCTCCAATCTGATATCCAATCTTTCATCACCTAATCTTTTTGTTATCCTCATAACCTTACTCTTTCCTGTATTCACTTTCAATTTTCTTCTTTTGCACACCCTACCAAATTCATCCACCAATCTCTGCAACTTCTCTTCAGAATCTCCCAAGAGTACCGTGTCATCAGCAAAGAGCAACTGTGATAACTCCCACTTTATGTGTGATTCTTTATCTTTTAACTCCACGCCTCTTGCCAAGACCCTCGCATTTACTTCTCTTACAACCCCATCTATAAATATATTAAACAACCACGGTGACATCACACATCCTTGTCTAAGGCCTACTTTTACTGGGAAATAATTTCCCTCTTTCCTACATACTCTAACTTGAGCCTCACTATCCTCGTAAAAACTCTTCACTGCTTTCAGTAACCTACCTCCTACACCATACACCTGCAACATCTGCCACATTGCCCCCCTATCCACCCTGTCATACGCCTTTTCCAAATCCATAAATGCCACAAAGACCTCTTTAGCCTTATCTAAATACTGTTCACTTATATGTTTCACTGTAAACACCTGGTCCACACACCCCCTACCTTTCCTAAAGCCTCCTTGTTCATCTGCTATCCTATTCTCCGTCTTACTCTTAATTCTTTCAATAATAGCTCTACCATACACTTTGCCAGGTATACTCAACAGACTTATCCCCCTATAATTTTTGCACTCTCTTTTATCCCCTTTGCCTTTATACAAAGGAACTATGCATGCTCTCTGCCAATCCCTAGGTACCTTACCCTCTTCCATACATTTATTAAATAATTGCACCAACCACTCCAAAACTATATCCCCACCTGCTTTATACGGGATAAACGTTCTTTGAGCAGCATGTATAGTGTTCAGAAAACTGTCATGTTGATAGCTCTCTTCGTTACCCCAGTCAACAGATAAGTGTTCTCTAAGCCCACCGTAATCTGCTAATCTGCTTTAAAGTGCAGGCACTGTGCTTCCACCTCCAGGGCTCAAGTCCAGCTAACTGATTTCCCCAAATCCCTTCACAAAATATTACCCTGCTCACACAACAATAGCTCGTGAAGTCCCAAAAACCATTCGTCTCTACCCACTCCTATCTAACAAACTCACACATGCCTGCTGTATGTCTAAAGCCCTTGCACACAACCTCTTTTACCCCCTCCCTCCACCCTTTCCTAGGATGACCCTTACCCCTTCTCCCCTCCACTACAAATTTATACACCTTCCAAGCCATACTATTTTGCTCCATCCTTTCTCAATGACCAAACTGTCTCAACAACCCCTCGTCAGCCCTCTGAACAATACTTTTAGTAAGTCCACACCCCCTCCTAATTTCCACACTATGAATTCTCTGCATAATATTTATGCCACACATTGAGCTTAGACATGACATCTCCACTGCCTCCAGCTTCCTCGGTTGCTGTAACATTCACAACCCATGTTTCACACCCATATAAGTGTTGGTACCACTATACTCTCATACATTTCCTTCTTTGCCTCCATGGATAATATTGTCTCCTCAGATACCTCAATGCACCACCTACTATTTTTCTTCATCAATTCTATGGTTTACCTTGTCCTTCAAAAACCCATCTGCCAACAAGTCTACTCCCAAATATCTGAATACACTCACTACTTCCATACTCCCTCCCTCCAATCTATACTCTCATATTTGGTTGGAGGGAGAAGGTAAAGAAGGTTTTGTGGGTGAGGGGCTTGGACTTCCAGCAAGCGTGCATGAGCGTGTTCGATAGGAGTGAATGGAGACGAATGGTATTTGGGACCTGGCGAGCTGTTGGAGTGTGAGCAGGGTAATATTTAGTGAAGGGATTCAGGGAAACCGGTTATTTTTATATAGCCCGACTTGAGTCCTGGAAGTGGGAAGTACAATGCCTGCACTTTAAAGGAGGGGATTGGGATACTGGCAGTTTGGAGGGGTATGTTGTGCATCTTTATACGTATATACTTCTAAACTGTTGTATTCTGAGCACCTCTGCAAAAACAGTGATAATGTGTGAGTGAGGTGAAAGTGTTGAATGATGATGAAAGTATTTTCTTTTTGGGGATTTTCTTTCTTTTTTGGGTCACCCTGCCTCGGTGGGAGACGGCCGACTTGTTGAGAAAAAAAAAATGAAGAAAAAGTTGGATGTACTAGAAAAAGAACATTGAACAAATAACCTTTAAAGCCAAATAAAAAATAACAAGAACAAAAATAAAAACTTAAACATTTGATGACAAGTTGCACATTTATCAGCATTACAAAAAAGTAGAACTACCATGCTAACCTAAATATCTACAACAGCATTTTAAGTTGTTTTATAGTGGTAAACATTTATATAAAATTAAAAAATATATAATCAATGAGCAGAATTGTAGTTATGCCAAACTAACCTTATTCTCATATATTCTGTTTGTAACGTTATAGAATCCAAAAATGTTCTAGAGTCCATCTTCGAACACCTGCGGGCACGTTCAAATATTGAAAACAAGTCCTCTTGAAAGTGATCAAGGCGAGTATACATGTTTTTATCGAGACGCCGCTTCATAATATCAAAGGACAGCACTCGTGTTTTTTTACCATCCACCTGTTAAATACAATAATTACTTAGAGTAGAAAATAGGGTATGCCTCAGTGAATTAACTGTAGCATTTTTTTTTTAATCTAAGGACCACTCATAGCCTGACAGTGATTTTTTAGCCGGTTATTTTACGTAACTGGTTATTTTATATAGCCGGACTTGAGTCCTGGAAGTGGAAAGTACAATGCCTGCACTTTAAAGGAAGGGTTTGGGATACTGGCAGTTTGGAGGGGTATGTTGTGTATCTTTATATGTATATACTTCTAAACAGTTGTATTCTGAGCACCTCTGCAAAAACAGTCATTATGTGTGAGTGAGGTGAGTGTTGAATGATGAAAGTATTTTCTTTTTGGGGGATTTTCTTTCTTTTTGGGTCACACTGCCTCATTGGGAGACGGCCGACTTGTTAAAAAAAAAAAAAAAAAAAAAAAGGGTTAGGGGAAGAGGGATGAAGATAAGGAGGAAGGGAGGAGATAAATAGGTAAGACAGGAAGAGGAAATAGGGATAGAGATAGAAAAGTGGAGAGTGAAGATAAACTTAATGGGGAGAAAAGTAATGGAAGGAGGTAACAGAGGGAGGTAAGGCAAGGGGAAAAGGATGGAGGGGAGACAATGAGGAATATCCTACATATGAATATAAATGGAGAAAGGTCTGCAGAAGATGCTGCAAAATCCATCATGCACCCCATCTCTTCTTGGAGTCATAGATATGCAAAACAGTGATTGATGTCTTATGTTGAACTTCAGTACTTTCTTTAACACACCAGCTGGCTCCTACCTACATAGGGTGATCCAAAAATAAGAAACACCTTCACCATCAATCACCAAATTACTGTCTTCCCAGAAAAATGCTGACATCAGAGCTAAGATGACCCCTCATAACTGCAACTTCCCACCTCTCATTCAGAGTGCATGCACCATACTTTCCACCTCCAGGACTCAAATCTGACTAACTGGTTTCCCTGAATCCCTTCATAAATATTGCTTTGCTCACACTCCAATGATAATAATACAGTAATATTAGTAAAATAAGTTACTAATAATAATGATATAATTTGGGAATGGTTGGTGCTTTTATCTAATAAATGTACGGAAGAGGGAAAGGTACCTAGGGACTGGCAAAGAGCATGCATAGTTCCTTTACATAAAGGCAAAGGGGACTAAAGAATGTAAAATTTTGGGGGAAATAAGCCTGTTGGAGTATACCTGGTAAAGTGTATAGTAGAGTAAATACTGAAAGAATTAAAAGTAAGACAGAGAGCAGGATCGCAGATGAACAAGGAGGCTTTAGGAAGGGTAGGGGGAGTGTAGACCAAGTGTTTACAGTAAAACATAGGTGAACAGTATTTAGATAAGAATAAAGGGATTTTCGTTTCATCTATGGATTTGGATAAAGGGATTTTCGTTTCATCTATGGATTTGGAAAAGACATAAGGTGGATATGAGAGCAATGTGGCTGATGTTGCAAATGTATGGAATAAGTGGTGGGCTACTGAAAGCATTTAAGAGCTTTTACGAGGATAGTGAGGCTCAGGTTAGAGTAAGTAGGAAAGAGGGAGATTATTTCCCAGTAAAAATAGGCCTTAGACAGGGATGTGTGATGTCACCGTGGTTGTTCAATATATATTTACAGATGGGGTTGTAAGAGAAGTGAATGTTCAGGTATTGGCTAGAGGTGTGGGATTAAGAGAAAAAGAATAACACAAAGTAGGAGTTGTCATAGCTACTTTTTGCTGATGACACTGTGCTTTTGGGAAATTCTGATGAGAAGTTGCAGAGGTTGGTGAATGAGTTTGGAAGGGTATGTAAAAGAAGGAAATTAAAAGTGAACCTAGGAAAGAGCAAAGTGATAAGGTACCCAAAAAATTTAGGCAATGAAAGACTGGATATCAGATTGGAGGGAATATGTAGAAAGTGAATGTATTCAGATATTTGAAAGTGGACTTGTCAGCAGATGGGTCTATGAAAGATGAGGTGACTCATAGAACTGATGAGGGGAAAAAGTTGAGTGGAGCACAGAGGAGTCTGTGGAGACAAAGAACATTGTCTATGGAAGCAAAGAGGGGGAATATATGAGAGCATAGTGGCACCATTGCTCTTATATGGGTGTGAAGCATGGGTGGTGAATGTTGCAACAAGAAGACTAGAGGCAGCAGAGATGTCGTGTCTGTGGGCAATGTGCCTGCACTCTGAAGGAGGGGTGCTGCTATGCTGCAGTTTTTAACTATAGTGTAGGCATGCCTCTGGCAATACAGTGATGGTCTGAATGATTAAAGTGTTTCTTCTTTTTTGGGTCACCCTGCCTTGGTGGGAAACAGCTGATGTCTCAATAAAAAAAACTGAAATAATTTTTTTTATCGGCCAATTCCCACCAAGGCAGGTGGTAAGCACTAAACATATAGGGGGTCATACTATACCAGAGGAACTTCTTTACCAACCAAGATTAACAGATACCCAGACTCCCTTGGAAGAGCACCATGGCTATATGATATATTGCAATAAACTACATATCAAGTGTACTGTATTTCACCTATTCTCATCTCTCCATTTCTTCTCAATCATTGCAGATATTCAAATGACTACTTGCCTCCTCATAATCAGGTAGCTCAAAGAAAGATTCTGCAGTGTAGCGGCCATCTTCTTCTTCATGGTTGAAAACACTGATGAAGAGTGACATTAGTAACTCCTGCACTAGAGCACTCACATTAGGCACTGATTCAGAATGACACAGCTCCACACGTTTCTAGAAAATATAAAATAGGGTAGCACATTTTAATATACTGATGTAACGAAACTTTCTTAAATCAGTCCATACAGAAGGGCAAACAAAGACTTTCTCTTAACATACCAAGTCAATGGGGTTCCCCCCTTCCATTCTTACCAATGATAAGTTTTTCCTGAGAATGATGATTTCTTCCTACCAGTGACGACTTATCCCACCAATGATTCCTATTATAAGAACATAAGAACGAAGGAACACTGCAGAAGGCCTACTGGCCCATGCGAGGCAGGTCCAAGTCTCCTACCGGCTTAAGCCAATGCACCCAACCTAGTCAGGTCAGGTCACATTGACTTAAGGGAGGAACACGGCAACTGACCTGGTAGCACAAGCTATCAGGTCCAACTCACACCCACCCACATCCACTCATGTATTTATCCAACCTATTTTTAAAGCTACACAACGTTCTGGCCTCTATAACTGTACTCGGGAGTTTGTTCCACTCACCCACAACTCTATTACCAAACCAGTACTTTCCTATATCCTTCCTGAATCTGAATTTTTCCAACTTAAAACCATTGCTGCGAGTCCGGTCTAGGCTAGATATTTTCAGCACACTATTTACATCCCCTTTATTTATTCCTGTCTTCCATTTATACACCTCAATCATATCCCCCCTAATTCTACGTCTTTCTAGAGAGTGCAGATTCAGGGCCCTTAGTCTATCCTCATAGGGAAGGTTTCTGATACATGGGATCAACTTTGTCATCCTCCTTTGTACATTTTCCAGAGAATTTATATCCATTCTGTAATACGGTGACCAAAACTGTGCAGCATAATCTAAATGAGGCTAACCAAGGATGTATAGAGTTGAAGAACAACCTGAGGACTCCTATTATTTATGCTTCTTGATATGAAGCCAAGGATTCTATTAGCTTTATTGCGAACACTTATGCACTGTTGTCTTGGTTTCAGATTACTGCTAACCAGAACTCCTAAATCTTTTTCGCAATCCGTAATATTAAGATCTACATTATTTAGTTTATACGTGGCATGGTTATTGTCCTGTCCAACATTTAGAACTTTGCATTTGTCTATATTAAACTGCATCTGCCACTTCTCCGACCACTGCATCAGTCTATTCAAATCTTCCTGGAGTGCTCGAATGTCCTCGTCAGAATGAATTCGACGGCCTATTTTGGTGTCATCGGCAAACTTGCCGATGTCAGTCTTTATGCCCTCATCTATGTCGTTTATGTAGATTGTGAACAGCAGGGGGCCCAACACTGACCCCTGTGGAACACCGCTCGTGACGCTTCCCCACTCTGATTTCTCCCCATTTATGCAAACTCTCTGCTGCCTATTTGTCAACCATGCCTCTATCCAGGAAAAAATTTCTCCTCCTATTCCATGTGCCTTAATTTTCCTCAATAGTCTCTGATGTGGGACCCTGTCAAAAGCCTTACTGAAGTCCATATACACAATATCATATTCATTACCATGATCTACCTCCTCAAATACCTTAGTGAAAAAAGTTAATAAATTCGTAAGGCAGGAACGCCCCTTTGTAAAACCATGCTGAGATTCGTTGATTAATTTATGCTTTTCAAGGTGGCTACGAACTGCCTCGGCAATTATTGATTCCATAAATTTTCCCACTATGGAGGTTAGGCTTATTGGTCTATAGTTCGAAGCTAAGGACCTGTCACCTGTTTTGAAAATAGGTATCACATTTGCCATTTTCCACTTATCTGGCACCATGCCAGTTTGTAGTGATATGTTGAAAAGATTAGCCAAAGGTGTGCTAAGCTCCTCTTTACATTCCTTTAGAACCCTTGCATACAGTTCATCAGGGCCTGGGGATTTGTTAGGTTTTAATTTATCTATTTGCCTAAGGACCATGTCACTTGTGACCCTAATCGTGCACAGTTTATTATCGTCCTGTTCTACATAATTTATTATTACTGGAATATCGCTGGTATCCTCCTGTGTAAAAACTGTGAAGAAGTATGTGTTAAAAATTCTACACATTTCCTTATCACTGTCAGTGAGCTGACCCGAGGAACTTTTGAGTGGGCCTATCTTGTCCCTGATCTTACTTCTGTATACCTGAAAGAATCCTTTTGGGTTAGTCTTCGATTCTCTTGCAACTTTAACCTCATAATCTCTTTTTGCTTTTCTAATTCCCTTTTTTATTTCTCTCTTTAACTGAATATATCGATTTCTTAATTGCCCCTCTCCTCTTTTGATTTACCTATATATGCCTCTCTTTTGACCAATCAGATATTTTAATCTATTGTTCATCCATTTAGGATCATTTTTGTTTGATCTGATTTCCCTATTTGGAACATAATTTGACTGAGCAGCTAGAACTATGCCCTGGAAAGCATCATATCGGCAACCATCACCACCTACCTGACCCTTAGTCAGGTCATTCCAGTTCAGCCCACCTAAGTAATTTTTCAGTCCTATGAAATCAGCCAAGCGAAAGTCAGGGATGGAGACTTGATTGCCATTATTAGGGGAATTCCATGATATATTAAAACTGAGTGATTTGTGATCACTTTCCCCAAGCTCATCATTAACCTCAAGATTATTAATTAGTGTTTCCCTACTGGCAAGAACCAAGTCAAGGAGGTTATTTCCCCTAGTTGGCTTTGTCACAAACTGTTTTAAAAAACAATCCTGGATCGTATCAAGAAAGTCACCTGACTCTAAATTTCCTGTCAAATTGCTCCAGTCAATCTGTCTATAGTTGAAATCTCCCATTAGCACAACATTTTCGTATGTAGATGCCTTACGAATTTCGTCCCATAGAAGTTTACTGCACTCCCTATCAAGATTTGGGGCCCTGTAAATCACACCCAAAATTAGTTTTTCTCGGCCCTCGAGAAGCTGTAACCAAACAGATTCAGTGGCTGACGCTTCTAATTTAATATCTTGTCTAACACAACAATTTAAATTGTCTCTGACATACATCGCTACTCCACCACCTTTCCTGTTGACCCTGTCAGTGTGGAATAATTTATAGCCTTGTATGTGACATTCAGAGGGCATCTCTCTATCTTTCAGATTGAGCCAGGTCTCTGTTATAGCAATAATATCTATGTTTCCTGCACTTGCAATTAATCTTAGCTCATCTATCTTATTTCTTACACTCCTGCTATTAGTATGGTAAACCTTAAGGGAGCTAGTCCCTTGCTGCCCTCTGCTGTCCCCCTTTGTTTGCTGACCTGATCTATTGTCTTTATTTATAACTTCATGCTGAATGCCTTTTATACATTTACTGTTTCCAACCCTAGTGTTGCAACCTGCTTGTTTCCCACACACCCATACCTCTATCTTCCATCAGTTTAAAATCATAGGCATTTCACCAATGGCCTTCTCAATCGAGTCTGCAAGTGCTACCACCCCTGCCCCAGAGAGATGTACCCTATCCCTTGCATACATTGCTCTTCTGCTACATTTACTACACTTTATGAATTTTCTTTAAACTGATGCAGGTACAGTGGATCCTTGCTTGTCGGCTGCATTACTTATCAAACATATCAGTTTTCATATGAGAAATTTGAGAAAAAAAAGTCTTGGTTTTCATACGTTCTCTTAGCTGTTGACTGGCAATGCAAATGGCTCAGGTCACGTGCTCACAAAATGCGCACTGAACAATGAGTTGACAGCATGGGGTCTGAGTCAGTATAGTCACTAACTCTCACATGCTGTAAACATCTGAGCTTTTGTTGTGCATCTCATGGACTTTTTTCGTTATTTTGCGGCTTTTGGTGCCCTTTTTTTTTTTACTGCGAGACAAGCCATTGCCATTTCTCGTCAAGGAAATGTGCAATAAATAGCGTGAAGTGCAGGAGTTTGCTGTAAAATTTCATCCAGACAAAGCAATGGCCATCTACCTCTCTAACATGTACAATGACAGTGTAATGTCTCAATTTAGAGAAGTGTTAAAACAGAGCCTGAAACAAACCTCACTGGACAAAGTGAGACAAAGAACCAGTGAGTCGGAACAAGGTGTTAGTGGTGAAGAGACAAAGAAGAGAAACACCAGAAGGATAGTTGCCTGATATTTTTATTAATAGGCGACTCTCCTTCTAAGCAGTAACATACCCCCTCCTCCTCTCCTCCACCTTCTCTCCCAGTATGCCATTAGCTCTCCTCTGACAGGTAAGAGGCAGCTAAATTTTCATTTACTGTACAGTATTTTAGTTAAAGTTTCTTTTAGTATTCATTTTTACAGTTTTATGTAGTAGTTAGTACTGTCATTTTGGGGTGTGGAACAGATTAATTCTATTTACATATTATTTAAGGGAAAACTGCTTTCGTTGTTGTCCATTTTGGTTGTTGAATCAACATCTGGAACTAATTAAATCTGACAACCGAGGTTCCACTGTATTTTCTATCTTGCCTTTATTTTCTATTATTTGTGACTGCCTGTCCCTGTCTCTCTCTTTAGTTCAACTTTCCCCACTTGCATTTGCCTACCCCAGACAATAACTGACTATGATGTTAGCACACTTCTGGAAAGACAGAGATTGAGTGAATGTGTTTTCTTCTTTGGATCACCCTGGTTTGGCAGGAGACAGCTAGTGAATAAAAATAAAATGCAAAATTCTCTTAGCCTCTTTAGTTTTTTTTTTTTTCCCAACAAGTCGGCCGTCTCCCACCGAGGCAGGGTGACCCAAAAAAGAAAGAAAATCCCCAAAAAGAAAATACTTTCATCATCATTCAACACTTTCACCACACTCACACATAATCACTGTTTTTGCAGAGGTGCTCAGAATACAACAGTTTAGAAGCATATACGTATAAAGATACACAACATATCCCTCCAAACTGCCAATATCCCAAACCCCTCCTTTAAAGTGCAGGCATTGTACTTCCCATTCCAGGACTCAAGTCCGACTAATGAAAATAACCGGTTTCCCTGAATCCCTTCACTAAATATTACCCTGCTCAAACTCCAACAGATCGTCAGGTCCCAAGTATCATTCGTCTCCATTCACTCCTATCTAACA